AAATAGTCAGAATAACAATTCATACTTTACACCCAGGTTAATTCAACTTCTTTCCGTATTACAAAGTATAATTTCACAGCAGAAGCGGAGTAACAAGTCTCCAGCCATCCTATCCACTTATGTCTCCAGCAGAAAGCTTCCCTTTCTTCTGAAGGACACTAAAAACACCCCACTGGCTATCCAGACTGACTAGTGTCAAATCAGTTTGCTGCTTTTAAATTCTAGTGCTGATCGTAGCAGAGATGAAACACGCAGATGTTTGGAAGACAAGAAGCTAATCCATCATACCTGTCATCTACAGAACTCCCTTCCTGGGGATTTAGATGGTTTGGCAAATGTTGCTTAGAATGACGTTCCATTTTCACAAGAGAGGAAAACTGTATCTCCTGCAGTATTCTGTTGTTACTACAGAGAAGAAAAGATGCTTTTCTTCTGGATCCAGGTGGCAAAGCAGAGAGCAGATCTGAAAAATAAAAAGTATTTTGAAAGGTATGCTTTATGTCCTTTGTGTACTAAGCTGTTTTGATATTAAATGAATTTATTTATGTTGAAGCGTGTTGGATTAGTTTCTCCTATATAAAAAAAAATATATTAGTTACAGATTAAAGTACAACTATTTAAAAAAATAAACAATCCCAATAATATTAAACAGTTTCCAGTACTTGTGAACACATATTTTAGCTTCAACACAAGTGGCAGTTGCATTGATGGCAGACAATACAAGTCTGTTCAAAACTTCAGCACTGAAGAAGGGCAAGGATTCTCCTGAGATGCTTTATACATATCTAAAGCAACAGTAAGCAAGGAAAGCTGAACGAAATTTTGAATTTTAAACATAAAGATGCCCTAAAATCTGGGAGATCACAGCCCTGAGGTCTCAAAATAGCAAAAGAACAAGTTCAAAGAACAAGAGGTTTTCAATGAGTGTCACAGGAGAGCATTAGGGAGGTATTTCAAGTTGTGTCGGCCCACTCCAGCTAATAAACCACATTTGCATAAGTTTATATAACTCCTGTATTTTCAGGGGCTGAAGCACATGCCTAACAGGAGCAGGAATTAAAAGAACGCTGCAGTGAAAAAATTAATTTGCCTTAGGCTCAGCTAGAGTAGGCTACCATTTTCTTCTTCCTTCTATGTTGATACGTTACGCATTATTTATTTTCACCCATTTCTAGTTGAAATGTACACGACCAAATAACTAAAGTATGTTACAGCCAATAAGGAAAAGGAAAGGCGAGGACTAAACAGCAGACTGTGCCACAAAGCAAGGGTTAAACAGAATGGTCATTCTTCACGAGAGTCCAACTGCTGCACCTGCGTTCTCTGCTTGTCAGTGTTATTGCCTTTATCTTCCTTCATCTTTTCAAACTCTCCCATACTTCTCAAAGTATTGCTGGAATCACAGAGAATTCATTAGGAAGAAATACGTTATATAACCCTGTCATTTCTTTCCTAGTAATTTCACTTCATTTTCTAGTGTTCTACTTGCACAAAAGCCTCCATCTTGTGGTCAGATTCGCAATATAGATAGCTCACTTCCACATGAGATCAATTTGGTCTTTCAGAGAAAAAAATATATAAATATTTACAAAAAGCAAGCAATGTGGGATTAGGTGGTTTCTTAGAAGTGATTCTGCAGTTTTCTCTGTTCCACATCACCATTTACTCTTGAAACCACAGGGAACCAATTTTGGAAATGCTACACGAGTAAGTTTTCCAGTTGATCCGTAAGGAGCTTCCATATCAAGTGTCTGAATTGCATGGGACACAATTTGAAATCTGATTTCCAACCCAGTCCAACCCAACTCCTGGGAAATAGGATTTTCCTCTTACTTCCTTCTTCACACAAATGCGGGCAGTGTGCCATCCCAAGGTAATGGATGAACTGACATGAGTGCACACAGTTCATGTCAGGAGTACACTTCTGACAGACAAAAGTATGTATTTCTTGTTACCCTCCTGGACGTGAGGCCCCTCAGTACCACAGGGTAGCCAGAGCCTGGCTTTGGGGTCTACATTCCCAATAAACTCACGCTTGGCAGTGTGCAGCTCCTCATTTAACACGTCATGAAACCCAAAGCCACACAGCAACGCAAAGTGAGTAATATCCATATGGATGTTTTGGCTATGAGGAAAAGGCATCAAAACCAGACGTCATAAGTTGCTGTGCTGTCCACACGATACCTGTGCAGTGGCAAACCACGTGTGATGTGGCCAAGAAAAAACGTGTGTTAGAGACAAAAGCCACATGCACATTGATAGAAACAAAGGATTGCACAGCACATGCACGCTCACCACTGCAGGAAAGAGCAGAGCACTGCCAAGCACCTTGTCTCTCTGACACTCACAGACCAGCTCCATCTCGCAGCAGAGAAAGAATGAAGTGTCGGTGCTCACAGTGCCCTGCTGCGCTCTGCTCTTGGCACTGCTCACCTCCACGCACAACAGACACAAGGTACAATGTGTGCATCCCTCATACCTCATGCTGTCTTCTCAGTTCAAGCCCAGCTCCGAGCTTTGTGCTGGAACGCATAACAAATGTTCAGCCATTCACTTTAGCTACCTCTGCTGCAAGGGAGAAAAACTCTGGCAGAAAAACAGAGAAAACAACTGAAAGCAGAGATGCTTTGATTGCAATGGAACAAAGGATAAAGAACTTCCAATTCTACCTATTGCAATTGTTATGTGCAGCCTAAGTTTCTGCAGGGAACTCGCCTCAGGGTCCTGCTGTCATATCACTGAAACTGAACAGGCTTTCATTCATCTCTTATCTCTGCCCAAAGTAACACTAAAACGCCAAGAATTAATAACTATTTACCAAGGACTGGAAGCTGCACACAACTTCAAACAGCTACAAATATCTGTCACCAAAGAAAACGCCGTAAGTCGGAAAGGGATCTCCAAGAACTGTGTGTATCAGTGTTAAGGAACACGGTGAGAAAAATTCAGTGTTCAAAAACATACATTCAGACTTACAGACAGTGCACTACTGCTGACTTTAATAATGTCATGCTGTAGCCTCGCTAGTTTTCTTCATTCACTACATTGGCTAGATAGGAAAATACCATTTATAGTCATTGTATGAGATCGTGAAGGCAGAATGAAGCAGAAAACTTCATGTTGTGCTGACCTTGTCACTACAAACATAGCGATTTGAGCAGTTTAGAGGTACAAGAAAAAGTTGCAACACGGTCTTTCAGTGCATCAGAGCTCTCAGTAATACATGTAATTAACAGTCCAGAGACAGTCCTGCATTCTCTGCTTGATTTTGTATGTTGCTGCCCATCTGTATGCTCATGGGAGCAAATCCAGTAAATTTGGCTGCCACAAACATATCAACACACACAAATTCTCACCCCATTTGTGCAGCCCTGGCTATATTGGTAATGGAACCGATACTCAAAATCAGCTCAACATAAATGAACTCCTATAGCTTGTTCAACCAGACAAATGCGTTGGCTTAAGTGGCTGCTTTTATATTTATACCTCTCTGACATGAATTATGCATATGCATACATTAGCAAGCACTGTCTTTCGCTTCTATTAAGCTCTGGGCTGTCCTCTTGGGAACTCATTATCTCCAGTGCATTTCATGAAGTCTTGACTCGACTCTACCAGAACTGTTACTGCACTGCACCTTTCCCAGAAAGATGGTGATACTTTTCCCAGGCTTCTGTGGCTCAATTCGCTGTTGACTATTTAATTGTCTAACAGCAGAGAGCATTTTTTCCACTAAAACAAAAGAGTGAAATTGAGTTATCAGAAATAACAGTTTTGTGCGTTTTTTGTTTGTTTGTTTTGTTTTGTTTTCTTTGTTGTTTAGGTGTTTGTTTTTTTTTTACCCAGAGAGAGACACAGCCATTAAACTGGTTCTTGGATGCTTACTGCTGGAACAGTTTCAGCGTTGTTCCTTCCCCTGGAAATGTGCTTTCAACTTAATTTCCTGCTCTCAATGGAGATTTGGGATTTACTCTTTTTTCTAACTGTCTCAGGATGGCAGCTTCACCCAATGCCATCTCATGTGGGAGATGAGGGCCACAGAGATGACTGGCGGCCTGGAGCATCTCCCTTATGAGGAAAGGCTGAGGAACTGAGATCAGTGTGGAGGAAAGGAGGCTGAAAGGGAATTATAAATGCTAATAAATACCCGGTGGGCTGGAGTCAATGGATCGGGCCAGGCTTTTTTCAGTGGTGTGCAGCAACAGCACAACGGGCAATGGGCAGAAACTGGAACATGGAAGTTCCATATGGACACAGAGAAGAACTTCTTTACTGTGCAGGTGACAGAGCACTGAACAAGCTTCCCAGAGAGGCTGCAGAGTCTCCTGTGGCGATATTCAAGACCCTCCTGGACACTTTCCTGTGCAGCCTACCACAGAAAGCCTGCTGTAGCAGGGGGTTCAACGAGATGACCTCCAGAGCCCCTTGTGATTCCGCGACGCCAAGCAGCCTGCTGCTCAGCTATGCCCTCCTTTTCAGCGACCGAGACCCTGCTTAGGGGCTGAAACGTGACGAGAACGCTTACACAGCACCATCCCCTCCGACACGCTCACCGCCAGGCGCGCGGGGCACAGAAAGCCAGCCTTCCGCGCCCCGTCCCTCCGCTCGGGAGCCGTCGGGCCGCCCTAAGGGGCTGCGGGAACCCCGGGTCAATAGAGCCGCGCTGGGCGGCTCCAGGCGGGACCCCATCGCCCTCTGCTGACCGCCGCGCGAAGAGCAGCGGAGCCCCTCGAGCCGAGGCGGGCGGCGGGCAGGACGGGGCAGGGACGGGGCCGCTCGGGGATGACGAGGTGTGGCGGAAGGGCCGCTCCATCCATGGCAGCCCCTTCTCCCCGCGGACCCCGCAGCGCCAGCCCGGCACACGTGGCTCCCATGAGAGCAAGGGCGTCTTATAAGCAAGCCGGGCCCCGCGCCGCCCTCCCCGTCCGGGTTAGCGGCCTCCGTGCGAACTTCAGCATACGGCCGGGAGGCGGGGAAGGAGGGAGGGAGGGAGGGAGGGAGAGAGGGAGCCCCGCTCCCCCCGAGGCGGGGCCGGCCGCGGCCCCGCTGCGTCAGAGCTGTGCAAACACCGCCGCCGCTATTTAAGGGGCCGCGGCGGAGCAGCCCCCGACATCCCGCTTGGGCGCACGCCGGTCTCCCGCGGTCCTCATCGCTCCGGCCTCGGGGAAAGAAGGAAAGGAGGAAGGTAGGGAGCGGCACCTGGGGGAGCAGCCGGCGTGGCGGGGAGGTGACAGCCGCCCTTCGCTGCCGTGCGTTGCGAGCGGGCGGACGAACTTCGTTTCCCCCTTTTTCCTAAATGAAAAGGCGATGCTCGGTGCCGCGTTTCAGATACGCGGGTAATTCGTGTGTCGTTTAGAACGGGAAGTTGCCCTCCTGCCGCTCAGCGCCGGTGCGTCGCTTCTCCTCTCAGCCCCGTTTCCAGAAGTATTATTTCAGGTGCTGTGCTCAAACTGTGCTGCTTTCCCGGTTTGTCTTATCCAATCTTTGCTTCTTTGTGGAGGTGGCAAAAGATTGTTTTGCTTGAATTCTGGTTTATACGAAGGAGAGCGCAGTTCTGTGCACATCATTGCTGGTGCTGGTAAATCAGGTGATGGGGTGGTGTGAGATTTTGGGGTTTTCTTTTGTCGTGACACAACTTTGTTCCTTCTTCTCTCGTACAAGACAGCTTCTTCAGTGCTGAATTCCAAACCAAGAAGGGTGGGGGAGTAAAGGCTCTCTGCAGAACTTGTCAAAATTGGTTATTTGTGATAACAGCAGATTGCAGTAAGAGCAAAACAAAGCACGTGGCTGCCTGGATCCTGCGAGTTTGTGCAGAGCTGCATAGGTTCCCTTTAGTTGTTGCTGGAATGCAGCTTCCAAAACAGAAAAGAACTGCATAAGGGGAGCATAGCATATACGCGAGGAGGGCTAAAACCAGTTTGCTGGGGCGCTATCTCCTCTTCCCAACAGATAGCGTACCTCCTAGCTTAACGCAGATCCCGCAGCTACCTGCATTCAAAGTTTCCTCAGAACCCAGCGCTTCCGAAGAAGACAGGGCTGGGCGTAAGGCTCAATGTTGTCCATCCGCTCGTTCCGACCGCCTGACGTGCCTTTCTCTCCCCAGCGATGTACGGCGGGATCTGCATCTGCGTGCTCCTCGCCGCGCTGTCGGTGAGCTCCCTCGGCCAGCAGCCCGCGGGCTCACACGATGGCAGCCCGCTGGCTGCTGAGCTCCAGCAGAGCCTGACAGAAGCCCACCGGCATTCCCGCTCACCCTCCTCGGCGGGGCCGCTGAAGCCCGCACCGCGGCTGGATGGCAGCTTGGAGCAGAGGGCGACTATCGGAGCGCTGCTGGCCAAGTACCTGCAGCAAGCCCGGAAAGGTACCGCTCGTCTGCTGCCTCTGTGGCACGGCGTTTCCTTCCGAGATGCCCGCATAGTAACCCCGCATCATCTAGCACTAACTCCCGCGTTCCTATAGGAAATAGGAAATAGATTTTTGCCTGGCTGTTCCTGAAGTAGAGACCATTTTCTTTCCCGCTTACTATAAAACTGAAAAAACAAACAAACAACCCAAACCTGTTTTTACATAGCAGTTGCCTTGGGACAGAATCTTGCAATTACTTCAAACCTCCCCAGCATTCAGTAATGGGATCGTGAAGCTCCAGTAGAGTACTGGAATCACAAGGCTTCACTTTGATTGAGTGATTTATTCGTTGCTTGAGGAAACAATTGTGTTACATATTTGAATTGAGTTACACCATGGGCAGCCTAATTGCTCTGACCACCAAAGGAGGAACGTGACTGCAAACCTCAAGAAAAAAGCATAGTACAGCTTGTGGGGTTATGCAGATGTTGTTTGCTTGCAATAGCTTCTCTCATCTATCCCCTATACAGCAGGAAAAGAGATTGCATTAGAAGTTAGGATTACTTGGGCATATAGGGAGGGACAAATTAATTGACTCCCAGCCTTGGAGTTTGTTTAGGATGGAATTCACTTGATAAGTGAGAGCCGCCTTCTCTCCTGTCTCTCCACACAACCGTAATGCACATCTTTTCTCCTCTCCATAGCCTTGCTGCTGAGCTCTGTGCTAGGCAGCATCTCGGCTGTATTTTTGGTGGTGCATTGCAATAAAGAGGTGCCACCTGCATTTTATGCATTAGACGTGCTGTCACACACATTCATGCAGAGGAAAGCTGAATCAGAAACAACAGAAAAGCACTGCTGATGTATTTGGAGGAGCTTCTCACACTGTGAATTCTCGCAGCGTTCATTAAGGAACGCGTTTTAGCAATTCACGTGATCTAATGGAAAGACAATTCAGATACAGAATTCTACAGTTCACTGCTGTAGTTAAAGCTGTTAATAAATAAGAATCTTGCTGTAGGAGTCTCTGAGGCAGACAAAACCCTACAAGGTCTTTCTTTCCTTTCTCCTGTGTAGCCACTACATTCTCTTTGAATACCTGGCTGACGTTTGTTTCCAAATAGCTTAACCAGGTGAGGTGAGGAAAAGAGTTCAGACGTAGGATGTATTTTTGGTAAGCACTGATATGAAGGAGAATTGCCTGCATACACAGATATATATATTTAACCCTACAAAGTGACATCTAGAGGATGATGGAATTCTTGTGGCATGACTGAGCTAGCTGGGCACCAGTGTACAGATGTACTTGCTGGTACGGATGAGAGTCACTACGACAAAGCAGTATTAATTTATAACAATGCTGCTCAACTGTTTTCCCATCAAAAAAAATATGTTCTCATTTAACGTGAAAGTTCAGGGCAATGCTTCAGAAATCTCTGCAGGACATTTACATCTGTTTCAGCTTCTCTGAACGCTCACTAGAAAATTCCATCTCAGAGGACATGGAGGCTGGGCATTAGCAATCAGCAGTGATGGCATTTGCTCTTGTGGTTAATAGGAAGGCTTATTTTGGACAGTGAGAGTTAAATTTTCCCAGGAGGCTGGGGCTAGATGCAGCCTTGGAGCCAGACTGCTACAGTTCTGAAGCTGTTCATTGTATGTTGATGCTGCAGCATCCACAGGGACATCTCTGGTTATTTAAGGGAAAGTAATTAAGGTGCCCCTAGGGAATTTCTTAGGCTACTTGTAACCTGTAGCTTTCACTTAACTTCTTCTACAGGCTTCCAGCATAAATCTGGCACCATGTCATTGGGAAATGTGCCTGACAAGTCAGTGACACGTGCAGTTTGCTGTCCTCTAGGGAGTCCTTGCTAGCCCAGACCAGAATAGCACCAGTGAAGTGTTTACAGCCCTCAGGTCACTGCAGGCTCCAAGATCCATGTGATGGTTTTGCAGTGTCTTAGCCCTGCCTGGTGCCAGAAAACCATTTTCATCAATATAACTTAGTATTTTGAGATATATATGAGAATTTCAGAGAGTTTAATGGTAGACAAACACATTTTCATAGTTTGTTGTTGGGGTTTTTTTTGGCTGTCTTGTTTAAAATGCCTAAAGCATGCTTAGTTTCTTTCTTTGGTACTTTTACCTCTGTAAGTCATTAACAAAACAATGCCATTGGTTTTGTTTTTAAATGAGTCGTGGTTATTACAAATCATTACACTGTCACCAAGGGTTCCTCTAAAACTCACAATCTGTGTAGATTTGGATTTCTAAGGTTGGTCTCCTTTTCCTTTTTGCTCAGTTCAAGCATTCTTCAAGCCTCACTCCTCATTAACTGCTACTGTGTTGGACTTGTCCCTCTTCCTCACTCCAGGCTCAGACTCAATTTTATTTACTGGCATGTGTCCATTCTGGCTTTCTTTATGGAGCATAGGGAAAAATAATTTACCTTCCACTGCAATTGTAGTTACATAATGTGATGATATCAAACTATTCCCCCCACAAATAATTTGTGTTTCTTTGATGCCCTAAACAGGGGTGGGTGAAAGGCTGAAGCAAGGTCAAAGATCAGCATCCCATCCCACAGTGAAAAGTACTGTGAAAATCGAGAAAAGCAGTGGGAAGGCTGCTGACATAGTAAGAAACCCTGTGTGATTGCAGTAATAGACATCTCTAGTTGTGAATTCCAGACACAACTTCCTGAATTTTGGGGCTATTCCACTTATTACAAAACCATTATTCTCAGCTCTACCCCTCTTGTTACTTAGTTTGCACTGTAGGAGTTCCCACGCTTGCATCTGTGGCTCTTCCTTCTCAGGAGCCAAAGAAGAGAGAAAATGGTTTGTATATTTTGCATTTAAAATCATTGAAGTCACTTTCAGGACAATCCCACAGTGTTTCTAAGATGTTTTCCCCAATTATACAGACCACGTAAATCCACTGTTATATAAAGTGAAGCAGTGTGAACTGCAGAAAAACAGATACAGAACAGATCAGAAATGGATGAAAGTGTGCCTGCTTACTTACTTTCTCCTCTCACACGCTCTTTTCCTGTAGGTTCCACTGGGAGGTTCTCTGTCTTAGGAAACAGGGTACAGAGCATTGATCCCACGCACAGGATAAATGACAGAGACTACATGGGCTGGATGGATTTTGGACGCCGCAGTGCTGAAGAATACGAGTACTCCTCCTAAAGAACAGCAAACGATAGCAACAGGAAAGAAATCACACTCCCATGTCTGTACAGAACGAGAAAAATTAATTTGTTGTCCTCTTCGAATCAGTGTTTTAAACTATATCATGTATTTGATGTAAATTTGTCTGTAAGACAATGCAATATATTACATATGCAGAATTTTCCAGGAAAAATGTTTTCTTTCTTTTGTGGTTTCTCATACACCGATATTCTATTAAAATGGTTTCACTTACCCCTTCTTGTCCTGTCGCTGGGTATCTTACTACACAGAGAGGCAGGAGAGCACCTTTATTCTGCAATGCAGTATATCCAGGTGTTGCATACTCAGACAAGCCAGCCACTTTTTAGGGATATCTTGTGACACTCTGAGGAGAATTTGTCCAAATACCAACACAGCAGCTGCCAGAAAAGGCCTGCTATCCTCACAGTGACCCCAGCTGTGCAGAGCTGAGTGGTTGTAGTCTGTACCCAGCAGGGCTAAAGGGAGAAGGAAAAGAGGAATGACACCAACGTGTCTCCCCTCTCCTCTTATGAAGTAAATGTGGAAGTTCTGCTGATGGCTGTGGATCATGGAATAAAGAGAACATCCCCTGCCGTGTGCTGAGCAAGGCCTTCATTCGGGGAGGGGCACAGAGAGCTGTACAGAGGATGGTCCTGAGGGAAAAGGGACGGGGTATTGAGCCATCAGGTCACGGGGTGTTAAAGAGGGGTGCTGGTGAGGGCACTGAGCACAGCAGAAGCAATAACATCTCGAGGAGCTGCTCTTAGCAGAAGCTGAGGGAGCAGACGCTGCAGATCTTTGCAGTGCTGTAAGAGACACTTCAGCAAGTGGTAGCAGAGAATTCTCCCCTTTCTGTGGATCTCATCTTGAGAGCACAAAACTGCTTTCCCACGCACGCTTTCCCTCCTCTCAATCCCCTTCCAGACAGCCCCCTGCCAAGCCTCCTCGTTGGACTTTTCTCAGCTCCTCTCCTAACACTAAAAGTCTCAATAGCTGCATAATCTCCCCTGTCTTCTTCGTCACTGCCTGTGGGAAGACACTCTGTACTACCACTTTTTCTCAAGCAGGATATTAATTTTTTTTTAACTGAGGAAAATACAAATTAATCTAAAAATGCATAGATTAAAGCATTTCCCAAGGGATTGTTTCTTTATAACACTGTCTTTCAACTTACTGACAGGAGCATTCAAATAACATTTCAAAACATTTCTGTCCCCTGCACACTGAGGACTGTCGTATTGCCAGGGGTGGGGAGTGGGTACAGATTTAATGTTATTGCTGAGAATGCTCTTATTAGGAAAGAAAGAAAGAAACAAACCCCACCACCCTTTTTTTCTTTTTTTCTGTCCCATGTCCTACAGGCAGGAGAATGGAGGAATAAAGATGTTTCATGCCATTCCTCTCCCTTTTGAAAGACACCATGGTTGGGCCCTTCTGCATCCCCAGCAGGTGAGCAAGTTCCAGATATAAAACAATGCTTCCACCCTTGCCAGACCACTAGTAATATTGCGTCTGATGCTACTCTAATACCATTCCAAGTTTGGTTGTGCAAGCAGTTAGGAGAGCACTGTTCTATTTTGCTTACCAGCCAACCAGCAGCACGATGGCTGTAAGGAAGCACATTGCCTGGGTGCTGGGGAGCTTCAGAGAAACCCCGTTTCATTTTTCAGTCACCATCCTGTTTCAGTGGTTACGCTGCAGCAGGGTGTAGGATGGGGAATAAAGGGACCTGTGGTGACTCACCTGGCATCCAAATGGAGACATACAGAAGGTAATAACGTGGTAAAGTCTTCTTAAAAAACTGCACCTCCTCTCCTTGATTTCAGTGTGCTGCCCCAGCCCAGATCCTTAGGATCCCCCCTATGAGTGCTCAGTGGTATTTCTGGATTTGGCTCCTTGCTGGGGTGGATCATTTCCTTTCTTTTTTTCCTGTCTCCAGGCTGAGGGCTTCAGCCACTCAGTGCAGGTGAGTGGTGGCCCCACGCTGAGTGCTGAGATGTAACCACCAAAGGAAAGCACGCTTTGCATAGGGGCTAAACGGACACTTTGATAGCTAAATAGCAAAGCAATAACTTTTTGCATTTAAAGTCTCTGAGGGTTTGATTTAATTGGTTCTGCTGCAGCTTTATCAATTAAGTTTCCAAACAGGTGCCAGGCACATCACTGTGAGCAGAGCAGCTGGTTGCAAACTCCATGTAAATGAACAGGGGAGAGCCTGGGGCCCTGCCTGCTCAGGGGTGAAAAGAAGCTGGATGAAAGGGGCTGCAGAGGTGAGACTCAGCCTCCATCCTTACTGTAGTGAGGGGAGCACTGCAGGGCCCAGCTCCAGCCCTGAGCCCAGAACAGGCCCCAAACTCCTTCTTCCTGCCCATGCAGGAATTCACAGGCCAGGAGAAATGCAATGTCCTAGCAAAGTGGTAAAAGGCGTCTCTTCCTCTGATTTTAAATTCCTCTTGAAGAGCAGAAATCTGGCTGTTAGAGCTTTAATCATTCCTAAGTTCTTGTGTCAACAGAGCAGCATTTGAATTCAGCAGCACAGCTTGAAGCTTAGTCCAGCAGGACAAAAATCTCTACAGGCTTTTAAATACAAACACTATTGATTTCCTCAACGTGTGCCATTCTCACATAAAAGCTCACTGCCTGTGTTAAAGCTCAGGTAACTTTCAGCTCTTCTGTTATTTTCTTGCTGCTCTGTGCACTCATTTGGCTTGTTGTGAGGAACCGGGGGGGTGAGCAGGGCAGTGAGATGTCAGAGCACACACAGCTGGGCAGCACTGAGACCTCAGCACAAACGCAGCTGCAGCCATCAGGTCCTGACCCTACCAGCAGGATGCAGCTCACAGCTCACTGCAGTGCTGGATTTTTGGATACAGTGTGGGAAGCTGCTAACAAAAGCATTCAGGAAGTTGAGGACTAGCGTTCAATCTGTGCACCACTGTGTTATTTTTTAGAATTTAGAACTGCTCAGGTTGGAAAAGACCTTAAAGATCTTTGAGTCCAACCACAACCATACCACCCTCACTCTAACAACTTTCTGCTAAATCATGTGCCTGAGCACCACATCCACTGCTTTGGAAACATGCAAAAGAGAGGAGGAATGAACCCCACAAGGCTGACGTACCACTCATGTTCCCCAAAGAACATCTCATGCCCACAGCCCTGTCTCCATCAGTTCTCAGCAAACAGTCTCCTCTTATCTCCTCCCCACCCATCACCCCAAGGTGGACAACCATGTTTTTGGCTGTGGTGAAGATGCATCTAGTGAAGTTTCTGAGATATTTGGATATTGCAAAGAGGAGGAACACTGCTGTGCACGGGCAGCAATTCTTCACCCATTTGGCCCTGTGAGGCTTAGCTCATGCTCTAGTTCTGTTCTGCTTTGAAATTGCCTAAGTACATCAAATACATGGGCTGAGCTTCCAGGTGGTTCATGCAGTTTTCATTACCCTGTGGCACAATTCGGTCCTGAAGTGAGAAACCAGGAAACCTTCCCATCACCAGCACTGTTAACAGAAACAGAAACTGGGTGGTGTTCTATATACCCCACATCCTGCAAAATCCACTGCAGTCACTGTGGGACACATCCACGAAGGACAACTGTCCTGTATCCAGGTAAAAGGTCAGAAAATAATGATACAGAACAAGCAGCCAACCCCATGTATTTGTTCTTTCCAAAGCCAGGGATTTAGGTCACTGCTGAAGCTGTCATTCGCACCAGTAGAGATGAGTTAGGGGGAAAAAAAAAAGAAAAAAAAAGATATTATTCTTGGAGGGAGACAAGATACAGAAAAGGCAATACCCCCCCAAAAAAGTGCTTCCTGTGCTATAGAGATACTGAGCTCACCCAGGGCCCCAGCTGTCACCAGAGAGCCACAGCACCTGCACAGCCTGCAAGGAGCAACAGTGGCTGAGAGAGACACGAAAGGGAATCAGGTAGGGAGGCAAACTGTGTGCGGATGGGGATGCTGCTGAGAGAATGGAACAAGAGCTCTGATCAATCATTTGAAAGCAACTATGCAACCACAAGGCAGCCCTTTCTCATCACCTGGGAGTTCACTCAGTGAGCTGTTTCTCTCTCAGTGCCAAGGGCAGTGCCACAGCCAATAGCAGAACCTGGCAAGTCCCTCCTTACTCATCGCTGCACTTATCATAGAATGGTCTGGGTTGAGAAGGACCACAATGATCATCTAGTTTCAACCCTCCCTGCTGTGTGGAGGGTCGCCAACCACCAGACCAGAGCCACATCCAGCACATTTTGTCACTATGGCTTTTGCATCATATTAAGGAGAAGAGTTCACATCCCTCTCCCAGTGAATATACACAAGCCATGTAATGTTTGGTCATTCTTTCTTGGAATTCTAATAGATACAAAGAGCACTTACTTCACTGGTTTTTGTTTTTTTTTTGTTTTGACCTGATCTCCATCAGTTCTGGCACTCTCCCAGTCTCAGAACTTTTCAGCCACTTCTATAACTAGGAATTTAAAAACCAAACATAGCGATGGCCTCTTCCTTTTGCTTTGACTGAGAGATGAAAGCAGAAGAAGCTGGAATATTTATCACCGTAAGAGAACAGCAAAAAGCTGAATAATGCACAACAATGCAACTTTGTTTTTTGTTTTGTTTTTGTTATTTTATTGATATTAGTGAAGAAAATCTAAATTTCATCCTTCTGATGTGGTACAATTGCTTTCTCTGGTGGGCCGACAGCTCTGACTGCTTATTTAAAGGCTGAGTAATGCTTCCCAGTTGCACGATTAGTTTCTACAATTTAAGTTCTCATACAGTATTGCTTTCTTCCTCTGGGTATATAAAATGGTCCATTGAGTTTGTGATCCTCCAGAATCAACTGTTATTCTATCTACTGTTTTAAGATACATTCAAATAAAAAGGTACTTAAGTTTACTCGCAATAAGTGCACACATACAACAGCAAAGAGAGCTGATGACATTTTACTAAAACATTTTAGGTTCATAGAATAAATATAAGTCTCCAAACACATGCAGTAACTGACCGATGTGTTTTTTCTTTCTCAAAAAATATCCTTAGTGTCCATAGCACTACTGCAATAACTACTTCATTCAAAAAAAAAAAAAGAAAAAAAAAGAAAAAAAAAGAGAAAAATCACCTATCTCTTGTCACAAAGACTAAAAGACAGCTTCATTTATACAAGAAATTATCAGTGCTAATAATTTAGTAACAGTCTGGTACAAATTCAATTCACGGCAATGACACGGAGTGTGATTATGGTGGCAACAAACAGGGAGCTTGGTTTAGATGGCACCGGAACTGCCAGGAGAAGAAAGCAGATGCTAACAGCCCCATGGGCTCCTTTCCCCCCACCCATTTCAAAAAGAACACCGGGGCTCTGCTCATCTATAGAAACAAGCTCCCTCCAGTCCGCTCCCATTTCTTACAATTCCCTGTACAAACACCCAGCAGAGGTTTGGGAGAAACAAGCAAGAAAACTGCAAGTCAAATTAGGATCTTTTGGCCACAACCCAGTGGTGGGTAATGTCTTTAGGTTCTTAACTGAAGTTACAGGTTTGGCACTGGGAGGGGTGGTTTGTTGTTGCTGTTGCCTTTTTTTTACCAATTTAAATCCACTGAAAATAAATTGTTTCACATACTCTTACCTCTGCTAGGATCAAAATTAGGAATAAGAAGGTTTCTTTGAAAAAAAGAAAACAGAAACTGGGCAGGGAATATTCTCACTCTGGTTAGAAGACCATGGTTCTCAATCAGCTTATTGACTGCAAGGTGCATTTCCCATCTTGCACCATTCCATTACTAAATGTTTCTGTGGTTCTCTGCTGAGGTTCCAAGGACGCACCTCTTCCTAACACTGGTTTTGCTACATGTTCTCACATAACATTCTTATCTGTCAATCCATTCCGCAACTCCAACTTCTAGGAAGTCAGAGCCACATTTACCTCATGAGTTGTGAAAACTGTTCTTTGGGCGCACCGACAAAGCGTGTTTCAGTGGCAGCAACACATAGTAAAGCATTTTCCCCTTTCACAACCCAGTGCAGCATTGAAAAACAAAAACTACAAAGAAGTCACACAGAATGTAAGCATGCCAAATGAGACAGCAGTGGTAGAAATATGTCAATATTCCAGGTACCCAGTAGGCCTGCTGACCTCTACACAGTATTAGTTCAAGTTTATCGTATCGAAGAGGAGGAGAATACAGAACAGAAAAGTTTCATCCATTCAGGCATAACAGCCAGGCACTCCAATAACTCAGCTCAACTCATCTACAAAAGCAAAATCAAAACTATCAAGTGTTAAACTGAGTGCTTTATCAAAGCATAAATGCTCCCATGCTTCAAGTGATGAAATGCGAGTTCTCACATAACATACTCAACAGCTTCCCATGCACCTTCAACTCAAGTTAGGCTAGCTACAGAATTCATGTTTTTCCTAGTCAAGTTGTCTTGGTTATGTTCTTTTATACTTGTTTTTTTTTCAGTGCATCTTAAAAAAAAACCTTTTCAAAAGGTTAGCAAGTTAACCCTAATACAGCAATCATAACGTAGAGCCTTTTGCACTCAATCAAACTGTAAAATAATCCAATTAGTTACAAGAGAACTGGTACATATTTACACATTTATACAAAGTTTACACATTTCTCCCGTTAGGCACGAAGTTGATTTGTCAAACTCAAGAGGCAATGAAGGGGTGGTGGGGAGAGGAAAAGAGGACCGGAGAAAGAATCTGAGTATTTCCATTTAAAAAGACTAGCTGTAAAAATAAAAGTCCTTCATCGTAAGCTAGTTTGCTTTGGGAGCTTGGTTCCCATGAGGATCCCCGAGGTGAGGGATGTCGGGCCTTTCATCTGCATGCTGGAACCCACCATGGTGGGGAAGCTCCGGTTCCTTCGGATGCCAGTGTTCAGCTGGATGCCCCCAATGGCACTGGTCACAGCAGGACAGCCCAGCGGGAGAGTGTCTGGTGCCAGGCCTCTGGGAACAAGTGCCCTCCCTGGTCCTTGTGCCCCACAGACAAGAGGTCCCTGGTCATCAGTTAAAGGAGGAGCTGGCGCTTGCCCTGAACTCACAACTTTGGCAATACCAAACCTCCTGACCTTGTCCACAAGATTAAGGTTGGAAACAGACACGTCGGTCTGACTCTCACTGTTCCTGATGTTCTTTTTATTCCTCACCTCCTTCAAGATGGAACTAGCAGGCTTCGAAGCCAAGAAGTTGTCATAAGGTGGGCTGGTGCACTTGAACTCAAAAGACGGAGGGGAAGAAGAAGGTGTCTGCATAGGTGAGTTTGGTGGAGTGGAAGGAATGATTGCCATCTTAGGGGAATACGTGTTCAGAAGGGTGCCTTTGCTGGCTCTGTCCCAGCTCTGCGGATTGTACACCGCTGCCGAGATGCCCCTTTCCTTCAGCAGCCACACCAGCCCCAGAGATGTGCTCATTGTTGTCGTGGATTCCCGCAGGTTTGTGAAGGATTCGGCCAAACTCAGACGCCGAGGAGTACAGGGAGTAGCCACCGGGGTGCCTTTCAAGTTGCCAACGCTGCCACAAGCTGGAGTAGGTGCTGCGTTAAGGCTGAAAGCAAAGAAGCAATCAAATTACTCTCTCGTTAAGGAATTAAAACTGTAAGCAAGATTCTTAGCCTTGAGAAGGGACTTCTATCCATTTTGAGAAAATGTAAATTTCCCAGCTCCTCACAAATGTCAGCAACACAGAAACACCTCTTACAAAATGCATCTCTCCTCTATGCTGACAGTTTCAAGGGATTAGTGCATTCCTCAACAACCCACCCCCAACATTTCTTCTGATAAACTATTAAACTGATAGGTTTGTGAGCAACTTCTTTGGCTTTTCTTCCTGACCTACTGGCCATGAGCTCTCACATGCTTCCATGAGACAAGGAAACAGTGGGATAGTCTTCTAGTGTGGCTTCTGAGTGCACCTAACTGCTGGGCATTTTGATACTGCTGGGTCACAGCAGAGCCAAGAGAACAGGGGAACATATTTGCTACAGAAACATTTGTGGCAATGCTTCCGGAATTTGGAATTTTTACCACCAACATGCACTTCTGCAATGTCTTCCTCCCTTATGTAGAATTTGCCTATGTTTAAGGAGAAGGGGATGTGGGACCTGACTTTTGATGGTGATGCACAGTGGTGTGAACAACCATCAAAATGAAAAAAATAAAGTCAAACTCTTGGTCATCAAGGCCAGCAGGTAGCTGATAACTAAGCAGCGAGCTGAGCATGACAAAGAGCCATTCTACTGTTAATTCAGTTACAATAGTGGTTTCTACAGTTTGAAACATGGCTAAATTTTCTCCCAAATCTAGTTCTTCCTTTTCAAAATAAACTATGTTTAAGCAGAGGGCAAGCAAATGTTACACTGGCAATGTACATTTAGAGCAAAAGGCAAACATCACATACTTATAGTTATTGCTGTCTTACTGAGTATTTCTTCTTAAGCTGGTTATTAGAGTTTGAAATTTCTCAAGGCATATCAAATAGCATTCATTTTTATTAGATCATCCTCTTTGACTATCTGAACAAAGACCTAATGCAAGCATCTATTTCAAATGAATTATCGGTACAAAGGCAACATTCTAAATCCTTTGTACCATAGTATGACATCTCGTAGATCTGAAAGTTTGAGTGTTTCTGACACTACTGTGTCATTCTTAAAAAATTAAAAAATTAAAAAATACAATAGTTGGTAGTCACAGATTTGGTCAGCAAAGACCCATTTACCTACATATAATCCCAACTCAAAATCTGTGGCAGTCCAAGGTACACCATTCATCACCAAGCCATGGTGTACTCAGTTACTGCAGAAATAAGGTGTGTAGGTCACCCATAACTCTTCAAGTTCACATCTTTTGGGGAGAATCCCAAGGGTGCTATGGAGCTTTAAAAAAAAGTTTTCTGGCAATTTCTAACCATGCTGAGGATATCATGTTTTTGCCATGTATGTTCACACAAAAAAAGCAAATTCCACAGTAATATTACCTTAAGCATTGATTCATTCCTCTAGTGGCATTCTCAAAGTCTTTAACAATGCAAAAGCTGATGCTAACAAGAATTTACTGACCTGAGAGCTCATCACTGCTCAGAGATGGACATCTTCCTCATTACCTTGCCAGGTTAGCAAATAGAAAGCACTCAGCAAAGAGTCAGACAAACACCAAAGCCAAAGCAAGAGAGGGATAAACTAAGCAGGTGGGAGGGGGAAGAGGGGTAAGGGTGAGATTTCTTTTTTCCAAAGAGCCAAGCTGTTGTATTGGTTCAGCCATAGCATGCAACTTCAACTGCAGTTGGGTTCTCTGCACCAAGGAATGAATCAAATAGCCATACTGAAACAATCTGGCTGTATTTCCAGGTATAGATAAGCCTCAGGCCAAATAATTGCTTTTTTTTTTTTTTTTTCCCCGCACAAGGACAAAAGGGCCTATATAATCACAGACTCATTTAACCTTATGTCAACACTACTATGGCTGAAATGAGAAATCCTAGGAGGTTTTGTTGAGTTTTTGATGAGAACTTTGTATAATCGCATACAGCAATCAGCTGACGTGACAAACTCTAGTCTACTGATCTCCTAAGAGTTAGCAGCACTAACATCTCTGGTATTCCTAAAATGATGAAACACTGGCCTGATGTTAGTAAGTCTCAGGTCTTGTCTTCCTGGCTAAATAGGATCTAACCAACATTATCTCTACCACGATTTGAACTGCAACAACTTCTAGTGACAGCAGTAAAATTATAAAGGTGTTTTTTTCCCCCCTCCCTACAATTCTGCATGAGGAATCCCACATATTCCTATCTGTAAAATGTAGTGAAACAGTTTTGAGAGAATTGATATATAGGATAGCATAATTTGAAAAGCAGCCTTGCTGAGCTGCCCCCAAATTTGTCGTCTCACACCACCCTGTGGGCTGTGGCAGTCAGTACAGGCAGCAGCTGGGCTACAGGAAAGTATCATTAGGAACCCTCTTCACTTTGCCAGCACTGTCAGTGGCAGGGGAGGACTCCCAGCAAAGCTAAGACCACATGCACCCACACACACACACTCTGAAGGTAAGGCTGAGCAGAAACAAAGAGTTAGCTCACGGCTCCTGTTATAAGCACTGATTGGAGCTACATCTTCACAGCTGCAACTGCAGTTTGTGATGCATCTTCCCTAATGCAAGTACAAAAGAAATCTTGAAAAGCACAAGGGAGGGAGCAGAAAGAGGAAGGCAGCTTACTCTGTGAACTGACTCCCTGCAGGACAGGATGAAGTGCATTTTGGAAACTCAAGACAAGAAGCATCTAAGATGACCTAGTTATTAGATGAAAACTACAGCACTTGAATTGCTTTCCCCCCCGTAGCCCCAGATTTCAGTATCAGAAGTAGTTAGATTAGCATCTGTACTCATTTGTCAGTACTGGTATGCATTACAGTGCTGTTAAAAAAACACATCCCTGAAAGGAAGTGGGTATTATGTAGGTGCTGGGTTTTTTTTGTTGTTTGTTTGATTGATCATTTCAATATTACTTTTAACAAGAAATACTTTCCCCTTCAAACTGACCAACACTGCAGAGCAACACAGAAACAGGCCCAGTCTAGGCTCAGCAAATGAGCCCAGGGACAGTGCCAGAGTTAGATTGAGAGAAGAAACAAACAAACGAGCAACTCATGGAGCTGGTTGAAATTTAGTCAGGTTAGAGTAGAGCCTGGGTTAGAGGCCAGGTTCAAATGAAACCAGTCAGGAGAGTATCTGAACTCTTGGGGTTAGCTGGTGCCACAGACACGGGCATTCCTTCCACGTGGCCTTGCCAGCACAGGCAGCATTGCTCACCCCCTGCACGCTGGGTCCTAGAGTCTGCCCTACATCTCCTCTCAGCATAACGTGACATAATGCAGTTTCCTCATCCTTCTCACATGACCTGTGAAGAATCATTTATAGTCGGTAAGGAGGAGATCCTTCAACGTGCCCATTGAATACATCACAGTGTTTATTTTGGTCTTTTTCCTCCCGAACCAGTTACGAATTTTGGAGTAATCAAGTGACCTGATGATGTACTGAATTTAGCTGTCAGCTATGGCTGATTTGTTAGATTTAGTAACCAGCATGATCAGGGAGTTTATTACAACTACAGTTAACAGCAATTCAACAATAAAAAGAATGAAATAGAATTGCAGCCAAATAAAGGGGTCTCTTCAGCAGCAGAGTTGAGGAGAAAGACAAGAGAGAATGAAGAAAAATGAGCCAGGCCACAATTAGCTCACTACAATCGGAAAGGGAAGCAGAAAAGTTACATTTAATCATCACCTATTTCCTTTACATGTATTTATCACCTCAGAGGTGTTCATATATAATACCCTTACTTCTCATGCGTTCCTTAGGTGGCCAGTGCCCATCTGATGTCTAAACAAGTCTAGACACACCATCTCTGAATGGGTACCTACACAGGGGTACACTCCCCCATAGGAGCTGAAAGGGATAGAGAAAGCAATGAGGCATTGTCCTTCTAAACAGAAAAACACACTTTAACTTCCAATTTGCTAAGGAAAGGAAATTGCCCTCTCTAGGTATGAAATTCACTCCCCCTCCTCAATTCTCAGTTCTACTTGTTAGCCTTCTGTAAGGGTTTGCCCATACATACCAACTACTATTATCAAGCCAGTCAATTGGTTTGAGTCTGGCTGCTAAGTAACTTATTTCCAACAGTTAACCAAGGAATAGAGTAGACAGCTCCCTGGTTTGATTAAGTTGTGTTTCCTCCTCCATTCCACTGTACCACTGAAGCATCTACTTCTGTGTTTCTTTACTGGCATATCTCTCTTTGTCCCACACTACAGATTTCAGTTTCTCTCCAGAGAAAAATCTCCTTCATTTTTTATTTGTTTTAGACAAGATAGAAGATGCAGACTTGGGTCAATGCCACTAGCATCTGTGGCTAGTTTGGGATAGTTAGCTTTGGATACTGGAAACAAACTTAGATTATTTCTGAACCTGCAATTTTTTTTAACTGCAGATAATAAAATTTAAGCTGTTTTGACTGGCTGTCTAAAACATTACAAGTGCCTCTCAAATAAAATCAGCTTGAGGCAACTGAAAAGAGGAGGAACAATTTCAGAGGTGCGTTGTAATTCACCAGTGTGGCTAATGCTTTTGCTCATGCCATTACTTGTATTTCCTCACAGGGAAACTCTGACACAGCTGAAGGCTTTGCCATCATGGGAAACCCTTACCTTGGTGTGACTCGTGTGAGCTCATCAGAAGGGTGCAGAATGCGGCAGGTGGTGAAGGTGAAGGTGGAGTTGGTTTGTGACATGCACTTCCCAGGATGAGGTACTAAATTAAAAAAAAAAGCAAATTCTTTGCATTTTACACAGGAAAAAAAAAAAACAACAACAAAAAAAACCAACAAAACTTCTGTGTACTGATAAGACAGATGCAAAAAGTGATGAGGTACCTCAGACAGGATCAATGCAAGAGAAGTGAAATATACAAGTGCTATGGTGTTATAACACACTTTTCTCTAAACATATCTAAGACTCCAAGGCTAGTGCTAAAATGTTCTTCTGAAGCTTCCCCATGATCAACACCATTGCAGACAAGTCTTGCTGAAAACAGATTTAGACAAGGCAACACTTGAAATGCTAGCCCTTATCTAAACCAGCAACTTTCACTGGCAGGAAATAACAACAAACATTCTCTAGTACTGGCAGCTAAGGAGCACTATTTGCTGAATGCTCATGCACTTCTGCATTGAGATTGATCCACAAAGAGGTATCCCCATCACTTTTCAGTAATGGATCCAGCTTGCTAGTGCTACAGGAACAGATCAAAAAGTTGGGGCAGTGAGGGGATGGACACACAGCACTGTTTCTCTCTTCTCACATTCATGGTAATGAAAGTGGTAATTTTTTGGATCCACTACTGTGCATCTGTGACATTTCCCCTGTGCATGTGCTTAGGTTCTTTAAGAATGCATGTCCTCAGCTGCACAATACAGCAGTTTTTAAACAGTGTAGTAAAGCACTTTCCCCATAACTGTAGCTGTAAAGATTTCCCTCTGTTAATGTATCATTAACTGGGGAAAGAAGCTCACAGTTTAAAAGCTGATGGACTTTGGCCAATTGCCTTCTTCTTAGTAGAGATACTTCCGTGGATGCATTAATCTGCTGTATAATGCAGCCATGGTCATTGCTAGAAAATTTAAGAGCCATGCATCTGAAAAGCTGATTGAAGAACACCCAGAGTTAAATATTACATCAAAGATATCATGATTGCATAGGTTCTCTTAATGTCCAAACTTAGCAGTGGTCAAAAGACATGCGCAATAGAAACTGTGTGCAGTTCCCTCCCTCTTGTTTCTACCCAATCCTCTTGAGCCATTCACCCAAGGAAGCCACATTTTAATACCACAGTACACAAATATCCAACACATTGCAAAGGACAGACAAGACAGACCAACTAGATCAGACACCATCCTGAACTCCCAGAGATGCTTAGCAGAAGCAAGGCAAGTCTAAGTTGTGGCTGTGTTCCCTTTTCTATGTACAAAGTATACAGCTCAAAATAATGTGCACACTTTGGTAGTCCTTGAGGAACACATAAGCAGTGTGTGAAGGGCAGAGCACGGGGAGTGTGAACAGTGGAAGCAGAAGTGGCTAAGCATATGACAACGTGTGACTCAAGCTAACTTATAATAAGTACCAGAATGACTGCTGTACACTGAAGAAGGATATTTCAAATAAAAAACCCCACTGGAGTGTCAGGTTAATACACTCAAATGTTAGCACAGCATAACATAACAACAAGCTCTACTTCACCTCCAGAGATGGTAATTATGACGCTTCAGGAATCCAGTTGCTTTAGAGATTAGTGTGAGCACTATAAAGTTATTACAAGGGAGCACAGCCTAGCAATCATGATTCTCTCCATATCGTAGAGAGTTAAAAGAAAGTCTGGAGAAAGAGCTCAAATAACTAGACATGAAAGAAAATTGGTTATTTAGAGGAAACGAAGGACTGTGACATAAATCAAGTAGAAACAAAGTTATCCCTGGATGATGAATAGAGAACAAAATAAAGCAATGCCAGTTTAGATTGCAAGCTCAACCCAAAGAAGCACACAGCTGTAATACAGCAAGTGAATCGTCCTCATTCATAATATCCATTGGGTATCCCCTCAGATTGGAAACAGGCACACTGAAGATATGCAGCTGCATTAGCAAAAGCAAGACTCATTGTTATTAATGAGTCAGAGATAGGAGAAGGCTGCTAAAAGTAGAGAAATCACTTGACCCTAGTAAGAGAAAGCAAATCAAAACAATCAATGAAAATCAATTTCCAAGGATGTATTCCATCCGCAAATACCACTAAGAAAGTTCTGTACCAGCTTCATCCTCCATCAGTCAACAATGGGATGAATCATATTGCTGTTGCATTTTCCATCCTTTGGACACAATACAAAGAGAGTGAGAACCTGTTGCTGTAAATGAACAAAGTTCATAAAATAGAAACAAAACGATTCATTCCTAACCCAGTAATTTTTCATAAGAATGGCCATACTCTGAATTGGTATAAAGTTTTGAATAAGTCATATGTAATTTTATAATTCTATTTTCACATACACAACAAAAATTGTAACATTGAGTGATAAAGAAAACAGCAGTAGGGGTTTAAGAATAAACTGTTTTTTTTCAATGTACAAAGCTAGCATTGCCAGTAAACATCTGTAATACCAATGGCTAAAAGAGACTGTATCTGAATAACTCTTCCTCCATCTGCTTTACGTAAGTTTGATCCTAGGAAAATCTGTTTCACGTGACTGTGGCTGAAAACAGATCTGTTTTATTTATACCGTCCCCTTCCAATAAGTAGACAATTCACAAGTTCCATATCTGCATGAAAAACAAATTGTACATAATTGTTTAACAAAATTTACAGAAAATCATGTTTGTCCATTAGGAATACTCCCAAACTAAATAGCACACACACTTCTCCCCTGAATTAAGAATGTAACTAACCCCTAGATTGCAACTGTATTGTGTTTTGGCTTGCAGTAATTAAATATGCTTTACCTTTTTAATCTTTATTCTATAAATTCTTAGGCATTTGGGAAAAAATGCAAAACATTACAGCTCACAGAGACTCTCCTGTAAGCACAAACACTGCAATAAAGACATCTCAAAGACCTAAAAAAAAGAAAACAAACCCAGATGCTAATCCAGAACCTGTCTGCAGAGAGCTCCATCTTCTGGTAAAATAGAACCTTCCCTACTTAAAACACAAAGTTGATTTTTCTGTACCTCAGGGCTGGTTCAGATCCACTCTGTGTACACTCAGGGTTTATGGGCCATCTGCTCAGTGCAAAGAAAAAAACCAAGACACATTTTGGACACAATCATCCGGTCAGGAAACCTTCAGAACTGTTAGGTGGGCACCTCCTTCCTCAAAGTGTTACCATTTGAGATAAAGGTACAGACTTTGCTTTTACCAATCTATGCCAATAAATTCATTCACAGCTGAATTTTCCTAAAACTAGGTCATAAATCACAGAATGGCTTGGTTTGGAAGGGACCTTAAAGCCCACCAAGTTCCAATCCCCTGCCATGGGCAGGGCCCCATCCAACCTGGCCTTGAGTGCCTCCAGGGATGCAGCACCACAGCTTCCCGGGCAGCTGTGTCAATATCTAACTGGATTCACAGGACAAGATAGCAGCTCCACATGCTCTGTAAGTTCTGAAGAGTTCTTTCCTGCAGGCAACTGAAGGTGAATGCCCAGTGCCACCTGCACCAAAACCTCCTGGCTGACAGGACAGAGAGAATATAGGATATGCTGAATCTGATATAGGGGTTAACTACTGAAACAAAACAGAGTTAGGTGGTAAACTAACAGCTCTACAATGTGCACACAGTGCTGTCATAAAGTGGTTTAGGTGCTTCCTGAGAACAACATACTTTGGTAAACACTGTCTTTGGGAATAAGCCTGTCTACTCTAAATCTCTGAGAATACATATGTCTATATCAGGAACGTTACTCCTGTCGTGTTCCTTAAACAACTTTCTTCCTGAACTTTTCAAACTTTCTATTTTTTCTGCCTTTGGAAAGAGAGAAAGAGACTGAAACTTCAACAAAGGCAGACATCCTTCTGACAGGATTTCCTTAGCTTTCTTTTGGCTCAGGTCTCCTTCTCACATAACCATGGAGTACAGATATAAAAAGACTTCTGAAGTATTTAATATGGCTCCAACATGATGACTTCATCCCCAAACTGAAATTTTAACATTTTTAGCATTTTAACAGCACAGACAGCAAGTGCTGATTAAGAAAAAAAATCTCTGTGACATACTCATGCTATTTGAAAAAATATATATATTTAAATATGCATCCATATCTTAGTTCTAAGAGTAACAAAATTTATTTTTCTACACAATGATAACCTCTTACTATAAGCATATATAGTAACCCTGCTTAAAACAACTCAAATGTAAGACATTCATGATGTGTTTTTGTGATTTTTAGGCATCTGTTTGAAAAGATCTCCACATCATTATTTATGTCTAAAAATGAAGTACAGGAGGCTGATCCTGTAATGTTATGTACACACACTCTGTTGAAAGCAAAGCAACCCATCAGTGCACCTAGCAAACTCAAGTACTGGAAGATCAGTTTGTGCACCCAAGATTAACACTCAATTACATACATGCCAAACTTTCATTAAGTAGTCCTTTTAACTCTAAAATAGGGAAATTCACAATAGTTCAACTTGAAGAATGTTAAGTGCTTGAATGGCTTGTTTTGCTTTGTTGGTTTTTCTTTTTTGTTGAAGGGAAAAAGGTACCTGAAAGGCAGCAAATTAAAACAACAAACTAACAAACAACAAACAGACTTCATACAGTTTTAAAATACACTGCAGTTTCAAAGAATAAAAAACACGCTGAGGTTAATAAAAAAATTTGTGCTCCCTCCTAGAAGGCATTACCATAGCCTTGTCCTGTAACTTCTTTACCATTCCAAAAATGCTGAAGAGTCTCCATTCGAGTGGCATAAAAATTTCAAACTACTTCTGGGTATTAGCTAAAACTGCAATTCAGGAATTTATAATCAATCCTCTGTCAAGTTACTGAGCCCACACAAAATATGTAGCCCCAACAGACTGAATACAGATCAGAAATTGCACGCATATTAATTTCTTCTGAAATATTCAGTGCCATCATTAGGATACAATCTGTATATGGTGGTAAGGAAATTATTTAACATCTCAATTAATACTACATTTCTCAACAGTGGGACAAAAAAAAATAGGGATTGTAACTTTCATAGCTTTTCTTATTTAGTCACAGTGATTTCTGACTATCACTGCACAAGGGGCAAGTGATATTCTGTTCTGAATATGTTTACTTTGGCTACAAGACATCTTTGATACTACCAGGAATTTCTTCTCTCTGCACACTGGACTTTGTTTTCATCTCCAATTCACCCAGAGCAGCTCCCTACACACTAACAACAAGACAGGAGGAACAGGACCTCACAGTACTCTACCAGAGAAGACAGAAGGGTAAGATATAACCTTCACAGCATACACACAAGCAGAGCAGCTGACCACCCAACAGGCTAAGACAATTTACAACTGCTACAAATGGTCCTGATAGGTAGTTTATTTCCAAAGATATTTTGTTTCTAGGTTAGAAGAGCTGTAGCTCTGGAGTGACATGTTCTGTGGTCTTCCAATAGCATCTGTAGAGATTTCTTTCTGCCATCCATGAATCACTCAAATGTGATTTTTCCACAACGGATCTATCTTGCATCATAAGCAATCAAGCACTGTATCCAAGAAATTTATCTCATTCCCTTTTTGTTTTATTTTACTTCCACATTCTCTACACATTCTGTACACCACAGCCTAGAACAGCTCCTGGAACCAGGCAAGCAGTGGCTCTGACAGCCTTCTGGGGTAGCACACATACGTCCATACAGACCCTTGCCTGCACTGCAATTCTTAACAAGAAACCTAGGATAGTTAGATAGAATAGATAGATAGGATAGGCACAAAGAATGCTGAGGAGGCTTTTCAAGAGAGTGGCTGCTCAATATTAAAATACAAAACCAAATCACAAGCTAGGAATATATCTTTCTGCTTCCATAAATTGTTCTTCAGTGGACAGGTAGCAGATTCAGAAAAGCACTGCCACATTAATAAGTGCCTACTCTCAAAACATCCAGTGTATCTTGTATACCACCCGACAAGTGGCTTCAACAAAACGCAGACACAGCAGTATCCTTACTTCCTCTGAGCAATGAAATAGATAATGTGGTAGCTTATGGATACTCTAACATCCTAAGCAGCCAGGCAATTTGGATGAAGGAAAAAGAACAGGAAGTAAGTTTTCACTCAATCTGTTTGTCCTAGACAAAAGTTCATCATTTTGACCAACTTCCGTAAAGTATCAAAATTACTCAGCAAACAATCCAAATAAGATTACAAGCATAACTTCAAAGATTTCATTCAGAAATTATAACGTAGGGAATATGCCTAAAAGCCTTGTCTGAGATAACTAAAGTTTTCCAGGAAAAATCAGCAGTCATTAGGGAATAGCCTGTTCTACAGTGACTGGCATTGAAACTGTAAGAAAGGAAATGGAGATGAATACAACTCTTTCTCTGCCAATTTGTAACCATAACACAGGCCTAAATGCGTATTTGTACTCCAAACAAACACCTTTTCCAAATCCTTAGACACAGATGTTTTTCTCATCTGTTCTTAAAAGAATAAAAAGCTGTTATCTATATGCTTCTCTACATAGAGACCATGACAATAAAGTTTCACAACCTTTGACATGTTCCTGTGTTGACTGCTTTTGTAATTGGAAGATTCTTTGCCCGAAGTGTAACTCAAACAGACTTTCACACTGTTATTTTATCCTCAGTACATGAAAAACTGCTTGTTCCCTTCCTCCCTGTAGCAACACATTTTAAAATAAATCATATCTTTCCTTGAATATTTTCTTCTATAGACTAAAAAGAAGTTCAATTACTTTGGTCTTTTATTATTTCAGTCCATGTTTCCTAGATCTTGTGCTTTTCCTGCTGTTATTATTTAGACTCTTCAACAGGTGAACACCTGGACAAAACTGTACACATCTGTGGAGGCACTATTTATATCCATATTAATATAAAAAATTAAAAACACTGTTATTCCTAAAGAATGTCATAGAATAAAGCCAATTTTTGCAAACAGAAAGGGAAGTTGGAGGGTTTGGGTGAGGTTTAGCCTTATTACAACTGACTGAAAGTAGCTTATGTTCAGTGGTTGACAACATTGAACTGCCCCATTAATGAGAGCAATTGATACTCTACCCTTAAAAAAAAAAACAAAAAAAACCAAAAAAAAACCAAAAAACCCAGAATATTGCTGTCTAGCCCTGAGAAATCATGTGATCTTTCAAAGATCAGTCAAATGATAAGTTATGATTTAATCTAGAAAAAAAAAGAGGGTGAAGGAAGCATCCTTATTTAAAGTAGGTACGTAAAAACAAGTCTGAAGGAAGTTCTGGTAGTTTTCTATTTCAGGACTAAATACAGTTCATACCAGTGGGAAATCTTAAAGAACGAGCAATCCTATTTAGCTTATTATGACCAAACCAAGAGAAAGAAATCATGCAAACTCAAAACAGATCTGTACTCTGGGAACTTCTAACTTCATACAATAATGGACTGAAAACGTCCATTCAGAGCATCTAATAATCCATGTTGTTCTGATCATTTCAAATTTATATGGTATAAATATGAAGGATAGAAGTTAAGAATAGTGTGATGGGCAGGAAGTGAGGAAAACATTATTTCTGGTACCAAAACATCCTCTTAGTTATTTATCTCAATTTAAGTTTTATCCCAAAGAAAATTTAAAACCAGATACCTGTATCTGAGGTAAAGGAATTAAACTTGCAGAATTTCCTTGCTTGATTTTAAGGCACTTCCATTTGTTTCAGCAAGGGCAACTCAGATGCACCTTTTGTCATCATTTCATCTTTTTTTTTCCCTCCCCAAATGCAAAATCTAAAATATGGAATCACCCCTTATGAGAAGTTGGGAAAATATCTACACTGTAAGCATACAAAATGCATATTGTCTATACATAATACACACTGAAGTGAGTGTGCACTCAGTACACATACAAGTCCCACACGTGCCACACAGAGGTTTGTGAATAAATCATTTTCTTTTAGCAGCCTTCTCTTATCAGAATAAAGTAAAATATTGACCACGGATTCTGTTACTGAAAAAAAGTATCAAACTGAAAGATTATTTAAGAAAGGATTTTTGAGCCAATGTTAGAATGGTTATGTTCTAACCACCGCACACATTACCGTGCAGATGCTACACACAAAGCGATATTATGGATGCTGTTCTGGAGAGATGTGAGAATGGCCCAGTAATCAAAATCCTGTAAAGATGTCAGTTTTACTGGACTTAATGAGTTTCCCTCACCAGACCCCTCATCATCGTCAGCCGCGGACTCCTGCATCTCCTCTGTGAAAGCCTGAGATTGGCGGGGGTTATTCTTGTTGTCTGAAACAGTCACTTGTGCTTGTGACCTCTCACCTGAGGTCTCTGTGTGCTGAACTGGCGTCGAGGTAGTTAGGCCCTTGTAAGAAATGTCACCTGTCTCATCTTCCTCATAGTCATTAAGGCAGTACACTTCATCCACGTCGAGGTCCAGGGTTCTGAAGCCCTTAGTGACAACCCCGGGCCTCGGGTCCAGGATCCCACCCAAGTGAGGCTGAGCCAGCTGCTGCCAGTGGTGCAAAGTGGCAGAACCTTGAAAAGGAACAAAAAGACAACCACAAATAAATCAGTAATCAATCCAGAATCACAAAGGCCAAAAATCTCACTTGGTTTATCCAGAAGTCCAAACCTCAGACTCACTAATAGTTTGGAGCTTCCAAGAACCAGTCTCAATACTTCTAGGAAGACATGCTACAAGGCAAAGCTGCTTCAGCATTTCCAGATCAGTAGGAAATAAACTGATCACATCAGCACTTAGGCAAAGCCTGGTGGCAGAACGTGGTGTACTTGTGCACATGCACATCTCCTCCCCACCATTATTCTCATCTCCTTAAATTAAGCAGGAGTAGAAAATATTATATTTAAGAGTTGAACTAAAGGCTTAAAGAACATAAACCACATAGTCCCGCATTAAGCTCACACTAAGAAAGGTGCTAGAAACATGCTAGTATTGACTAGTGGTTGCTGACAGGAGGACATAGCAAGGTCAGAATTCTAATGTGTTAGAAAGCCACATCAACTCCAAGCATGTGTAAGCAAATAAGACTTCTGGGCTATACATCCAGTCCAAATACTCGTATGGAGCCTATCAGGGCCTCTACACTACACACAGTCAGCTACTACGTAACTAAATGCTACCATACCTGCAGCTTCATCCTTGGCAGAAAAAATGTTTTGAGTGCATTTTCCAAAGAAAAGCATTCAACACACAGTGTTCAACACGAGACAATGAGTCACAAATAACAACACGTCAGATTAAACTGATATATACCTAGGTGTGCCCACTGAAATCAGGGCAGATCTTGGTTGATTTCTCAAACACCAACTAAACATCACTTGTAAGAGCCAACATTTTTCCATGTGTGCCTATCAGTCACAACTGTGTAATGTGTAGCTTTAGGTCTTATTAACAAAGCATCTTCATTTTCATCTCTGTCAGCTCAAATCAGAGCGGTTTTTGTTGTGTTGCTCCTGCCCTCTCTCCCCAAAACAGAACAGTGACTCAATTCAATAAACTGACATACAAACGTCTCGCCACCATTAAAAGACTAAGAATGTTCAATTTGTTGTGTGGTATGTGTAAAAATCTAACACACTTAAATAACTAGGGGAGGAATGGCTCTTACAAACATTATTTTGCATCTGGAAGAAAGATCCCATCGAATGAAAATAAGTTCTCAATAAGCAGATTTCATTACAGGAAGCTCACTGTAAATAGGAAATAAACTGAGAAAATGTCTTCCCTTGCAATAGCTGAGCTCAGTGCGTAGTGTTTAATGATGTCTATGTCAATTTTTAAAACCTGTAATTTTTAGTTCAACGTGAAAAGATTCCACAGCACAGAATAATTGGATCTGCTGGGCTACTCTGGATTATGGTCCAGTTTATGTTTAGCAAGTTTTGAGATACAAGGGAGGATTGAGACTGATTGGTACCTTAAGGCTTGAGAGACAGAGATCTTTACTATGCCAGAATAAATAACAGTAAAAAAAAATTAAAAAATCCCTATAATTTGTTTTTATTTCTGAATTGTCACAAAGGTCAAGTTCTTTCCTTCACACACTGCCCTTTAAGAAATATGCCAGAAATCAGCATTTCTTTCTGTACTGCATGTAAGTATAAAATCCTGTTGCCAATGAACTTCTACCAACAAGCTTCTGAAGATGTAACCTTTTTCACTTCATGTATCACCAAAACCAATACTCAGAGAAACTCTGCAGAATAAATGTACCAAGTTAATAATATTTTATATCTTTCCCGAGGAAATATATTCAGCAGAATAACTGTATTTTGAGTTTTAACACTTCTTGTGATGCTACATGTTATCAATTTCTTTTGGAAAGGAGGACATAAGCATTTCTATGCACCTCTATTACTTTAACCTCAATCTCATACTATGTGTGTAAGTAAGCTTTCACTTTTCCACAGAGAAAATTAACACAAATAAAAAAAGCAATTAATAGCTGTGAACATTCATTTGTAAACTAACTTAAAGAAATATAAAAAAAGCCAAATGAAGGGAGGAGTCCTTGTCCTATATTCAATCCCAGACTCCCACTGGACAGCTTCCTAAGTTATATTAGTTTTCTTATAGTACACAGGGAGTGACACCTAAGGTACAAGAAGCTACGAATACAGTTGTTCAGTTAAAAAAGAAACCAAAAACCAAAAAACAACCTCACCAGAGCGTAACGAAAGCAAGTCAATTTGAGCAGACATTCTATCCTGTTCTTAAAAGATGCAAAGGAAAAATAATTCATTCCTTAGGGCCTCTGTCACACTATTTTACTGTTGGACTTGACTGCTTTAAAGAAGTAGAAAGCACTAACCTGAATAATACAGAACCAACCTTTTCTTACCCCATTTTAGGGCATGAATATCCTTAGGAAAACAAAACAAAAAAACACAACTACTGGTAGCAGTTTGCTGGTACTCTTTTGCCACATCAGCATGAAGTTAAAAAAAAAAAGAAACAACCAAAAAACCAGAATTAAACTTCATGAAAAATACACGGGAAAGAAACTGTGCTGAAGTGAGGAACAAAATAATAAACATGTTTAATAAAAGACAACAAACAGTAAACCTATGAAACAGGCAGACACAAACATACCATAAATGAGATGTAAAACCAAATGCTGGAAGTACTTCAGCAGATAATTTTTAGGAAAAAAATTACCCAGTGGGAATAATACGCAAAATAATGTAAACAAAACCCAACAAAACAGTCAGATAGAAAGATGATAAGGAATTAAAGAGTTTATTGGAAGAAAAAAAGCAGATATAATGGGATGGTGACAGAAATCTATTACAGCAGTAGCAGAAACAGTAACTTAAATGAAGCTGGATCATCCCCTTCCTCATGATGTAACATGCTTTTTATGACCACTGAAAAGTAATCATGTAAACAAACTACTACAATCTGCTAAACAGCATGGACTCGTGGTTATGGCTATAGTTTCATTTGAAAAGGCAGATACAGCACATACTTTCTTCAGGACACAAAAAGGGTTGGTTTTAGCTTCTGAGTAAGTGTTATGCTAAAGGCTATTTATAGACAAAAAAAAAAAAATTCTAAAAAGATGAACAAATGACACAGACAACATAATGTAACAGAGAAGTTCTCTCTGAGGGAGGGAAGGACCAAAACAGAAAGAAACCAAAGCTACATTGCATAACTACTGTCATTTCTGCAGTGCTATAGGCTTTTGTTTAAAATCTGGAGGAATTTACTCAATTTTCACTGCCAGCAACAACCTGAGAGTTCTGAAAAAAGCCAGTCTGACTATGCTACTCTTGCGTACCACCAACTTTGGTAGGCAGACTACAGAACTGCACTTTGCTCTGAAATTAAGCTCTAGTCCTGACAACAATACGTAGAGAAAATTTGGCTAAAAAACCCCTATTTCACATGTGAAACCAAAGCCATAGAGACTCGTGTGGCCACTCAATCAATAAAAGTGCAGAGGTCAATTTTAATCACAAAAGTAGCCCTATTAAACCAACCTGTCTATTTAAAGCAAAGGTCTTTGCAGATATCTACAGAAATGAGAGTGGATGAACTAACACACTGTTACTCATTTTCAGATACACAAACACCTTCCTTTTCTAAGTATGAAACAGCAACACTGAGATTTAGCTCACGTGTAAGGGTGGACTACTTATGCATGTGTGGCCTGTAACATTTTCTTCCCTTGGCTGGATTTGCTTCCTAACACTTTTAAGGCTTGTAGAAAAATGCAGCAGCTAGAAGATTTCAAACCAACAGCGTGGATTACTGTCCCTAAAGTAAAAAGAATATGTATTGCAAAGATTTCCTGCTTTCTGATAATGGATAAGAGACCACAAAGAGTCACTTAGAAGAACAGATAAAGGCCGAGGCCCTTTGTTATCACCTTCTAGTGGTTTCACAATCTGAAGCTTTTCTGGTAGGTAGGAGCGACTGCTGATAGACATTCCCGAATATCCAGTGAATTCTGAAAATCTGGAGTGAGTTCCCAGAGACATGATGCTTTCTGTGGGAGTAACGGAACCACTACGGAGTTCACCCTTTTCTGCCAGTTCCCGCAACTTCCTTTCCTGCTCTTCTTCAAAGAACTTCCGCTCCGAGAGGTAATTCTCCCGCCTAAGGGACAGCCTGCGAAGGGCGGTCTCTAGGTCACTGGAGCCTGGTGTCCCTGGAGTTCCAGGCTTCTTCATTCTGTCTTCATTTCTAAAGCACAACGGGACAAGAAAAAAAAGAAAAAGGTAGGGGTGGGAAAAAGATTTTTTGAGAAACTTAAAATTTTCAAGTGATAGTTTTGAAACATTCGAACTTCACATTACTATGCTTAGAAACAACTCACCACACTTCAAGCGAGCTGCTCTAAGGCAAACACCAGTATTTTCTCTCTTTTAACATCAAAACCATTTTGACCTAGTTCCTGGCTGGAAAAGCTGCGCTTTAACTAAGAACTTCCTCTTTCTAAGAATTGAGAGATGTTTACTAGTCTCTTTCTTATGATCATATCAACTCAAGTGAGAAGGCCAAGTCTTTTATGGACAACGCTGCAAGAATAAACCAGTAAGTCACACACACATACTATGATGATAAACATTCATTGCTTGTTTTGAGACATTAAGTAGTTTTTTCTATGACGTATATGAAGCATAAGCTGGAGCTACACTGAGGGAAGAGACAAGCAGCTGGAAAGTAAAATCCTAACTTCACTAACTGGTTTACTGCATAAGTTTTCATAGTAAGTTCCAACATTCTCCAATACGTTCACCACTTTAAGATCCAAAGTTGGATTCAGCTGCATCTTAGGTCAGAACTCTATAGCGTTTATGTATGACTGTGAAAAAGTAAGTAAATATAAGTATTGATCCATGTAAAACCACATATTCTATTCATAAACATCATCTAGTGATGATGCATCTCCAAAGAGGTGCAAATTGCAGAAACTGATACACAGTGCTTTCAGAAAGCGTGAGTGTTGAAGAACTAAAAGCATAAAAAGTAACATTTGAAGACAGTTGCACAACATTAGATGAAAAGAGGAAAATAGAAACTCCTTGCCTCTATGTCAGAATTAAGAACAGAATTAAGAAAACACAAAGCAAAACAAAACAATCCCGCAAAGCAAAGTGCTACAATACTGACCCATTCTCAGAGTCTGTCTCTAGGATGATGCTGTTGGTCTTGTTGTCTATCACAATGTTAGAGATGTCTCCCCCGTAGAAACTGGAACGTGGAGTGCTGACACAGCTGGAAATGAGCGAGTTCATCGCAGAAGACTGGTTGGAGCCTGGGATATTCATTGGTGATGGAGTCATAGATCTTTGCTTGACAACTTGGTTAACATTTCTCACTGTCTCAAAGACCCGCTTCTGATGACTGGTAAAACATACACAGAAAGTAAAGCATCAATTAATATCTTAAAAACAACCAGATCAGCAGGTAACAATTTGTTAATGACCCTTCCACAGCTCCACTATTTTTCCTTTATAGTATCTGTAAAAGAGTACATGTAGGGGCCCATTTTCATTAAAGTCTGGCCATTACATTCAATCCATCAACAAAACACTTACATCATGCTAGAATATTTTAGGCAGATTACTAGAGAATTATGTGTATGGATACCCTCAAATATTAGCACAGATTAAGTGAAAGAGCATTTTTAGTATGTTACCTAAAAAACCCTAAAGTCACTGTGTGGAAATAAGTTTTTAAAAACCAAAACTAACACCTATTTAATTCTTAACTATGAGCTGGATAATTATTTCTAAAGGGAATCTGGATTTATTCTATGACAAACAAGTCTTGCATCTTTCCATTCTGTAAGGAATTTCCCATCTCCTTAAGTAACATTAAAAAAAAATCAGAAATACAACACAGCAAGAGATTAGATGCTGCCAAGGCTGAAAATATAACTTTTGACCTACTTATAGAATTTTTTCTTTATCACCATTGACCTGATGTCACAAACTGTTATCTGCATCAAGATAAAGATCAGATGACACTTCAGCAGACAAAATGAATTTTCTCTATATCCTGGTGCAGAAGTACTACTGCTTTGTTTTACATTACAACAATGGCTGAACAACAGAACAGCCCATCTCTTTCAGCTTAGAGGTAACACTGCAGTGGTATAACAGTGACATCATGCCTTTTGCTATTCAATGTCATTCAAATTCCTCTCCAGTCCATGAGTGCTCAACAGGTGCATCCTTCATGTGCAGGCTCCAAGTCTATAGCTGTTTGCCTGCAAGAGGATGAAGCTAAGAGCATCTACCAATAAAATGTCCCACAGAGCATTCGCTGCTGAGCAAATAAATGAAATCCACAAAAGCTATTAAACCTAACAGAGGTGTTGTCCTTTGGTGAATCCACAGCAATATAAAAGAATTCCTAAAGAAACTATTCTGAAGTTAGATTACTCTGGAAGGACAAAAGAATCTTATTGAGTTTGAGCACACACACATCTTTTCCACCTTATACTTTTCTAACCAACATTTCCCTGTCAAAGCTTCATTTACAGTTCTTGACTCTTTCTCTGAAAAGATTAAGTATATGTCAGACTGTTTGTAAATACACTTGGAAGATTTCTTGGAAGTGGCTAGTCCTTTCTTTGTAAAATCCCCTTAATTAGGATTAAATTGTTTCAAATTAACCAGTCCATGCTTTGTTAAATTAGGTGAGATAAACCTGTTGGAGTACACATTCAACTTATGTCAATAAAGCCTTTTCTGCCAAGCTGTAGCTAACTTTAGCTTTTGGACCTTAGTAAGTACTTAACTTGTTTCAAACCACTCTTGATTAATTCAAGAGAGCATTAGCAAAATGTGAGCTAACTAATTTACACAGGTGCGATTGGCATCAGACTATAAGTATGCAACCACTCCAAATCCCTGTCTACATTGATGTTCTCTCTCTAGAAATTGGATTATATCAATAATTACTTTGTAACTTCTGCTGTAACACCTGAAAAGAGAACTTAAGGAACTGAACTCATCCCCTGAACATTAAATGACAAAATCTGGTGCGGTAACACACAAGAAAACCCATCTTTTTCTCAGAACAATATTTTCAGCACTCAAGAATGAATACAAACATTTCATGAGGCAAGGAAAATCCTCTATTTGGAGGTTTTCTTATGGTAGCTTAACAAAAAAAATAAATAACCATCCCAATAATTTGTTTTTCTCTCCCTCTGTCACTGAAGCTTTTCCAGAAATATTTAGTTCTAAACCTCCAGCTCCATATCCTGTCTTTTCCTTTCTTAACAAAAACTAATTAGCTCCTGATATAAACAGTCAATTAGGAACCAGTTCTTTTCAGTCGTACGCCAAGTCAGGAGAGTCAGGTTCATCTAGATGCAGCTCCTTCCTCATTGACCCTTCTATCTCTGCTGCCAAAGAATCCTGGTAAAGACAAGTACAAAAGTAAAATAAATATCTTAGTATTAACAGGTTGTCACTGCAGAAAACAATTGATTAGTTCTGTAAAATACCTAACAAATAGTAAATTGTCATTCCAGAAGAAAAAATAGGTTTAAAAATGAAAATAGACTGAAAAGCTAGAAGACTAATGAATATACTCAAATAGATGACAAGTTACAGCTTAGCTTCATACTGCTACAGTGCTCACCGTCTGAGGAGACATGATAAAATCTGACAAAAACTCTGAAAAAACAGTACAGGCAACAACAGACTCCATGCCATCCAGCTTTTAAGAGTAAACTCCTTTACAATGACATCTTCCTTTCACATAAAATGTTTTACTATATTTCTTTTTGTTTAAAACCACCAGAAAATATTCTTTCCTCTTACAGCATTACCCACTGACCCACAAAAAAGAGTTCTTGGAATGAAATATTAATGTATTTCCCCCATAGGGTTAAAGGTTATCAGTTCTCCACCGCTGGTCAGTATGCATTGCTGCCTAAACGTAGTGAAGTACAGGGTCTAAATGCCAGGTACCCTGAATCAGCATTTGAAAACCATCTTTATACAAAACACACAAATATATCTGAGCACAAATACACTTTTCTCAGCTTTCAACTGTATTTTTGCAGACACATCCTACAATATTAAAGGTCTGCACTTTAAACTGGCCTATGTTCTACCTCAGAAGAGACAGTGAAAAAGCAAGGCATTTTTCTTCTTGTGAGCATAAACCAACCTATTTGTGCTCTTTCTCAGCAGTTAAGATGAGGCATGGCTAAAGACAAGGAAGACAGACTAGATTCTGTTGTTTAATTACATTAATGAAACTCAAAAGAAATTTCATTGGTACCAATGCCTTAAGAAGTAATGAAACTGTTTTAGAGATACACAGGCAAATAAAACCAGGCATTGAACATTCATAGATGTTTTTATCCACTCTCTCATTTGGTTAAGGGTACTGCATATTCTCCTCACTTTAAACGTACAATGTTATAATCAAATGTGATTAATTAAATAATGTTGATAAAACCAGTGAGACCTCCATAACTGACATTGTCATAATACACATTAACAACAACTATTCCTTTAATGAATTTTCAGTACCACTAAAACAAGAATGTCTATGTAGCATATACAATTACTGAAGAACTAGAGGGTACAGCATAAGTGATGAGAAGGATACCACATCCATGAGCCATCAGTTATGTTATCAAGAAGCTGCATCTCCAAGGATATATAAGAAAACCAGGAAGCTCCTACTGAAAACCAGATGTGTACTGTTAAACAATCTATTAATCTATTAATACTACCCATGATTTATAGCCCAGCCAGCCTAAGGTTTCATATAATACCACAGTGAAAAGCATGCAGAATCAAGCACTCAGGTATCCTGTAACACTACATGTACATATTTCACCCATGCTCCTGTCTGCATCTCATCCTTGGGGCTATAATTCAAATGTAAACATTCACATTTATTTGGTTGTTCTCTGAATTTTTTTTTCCTTCTATCTGCTTACCATAGGGAAGAGGCCGAGGGAGTGGTACCGACGTGAAACAGCATTTGGCATAGTCTTGTTCCTAAGGTTTTTCAGCTCTTCTTGAGCCTCATGAAGCATTTCCATGCACTCTGCATACTTGTCTTCCAGCTCACGCAACTACAACATAGGGAAAACAGTCTAAGATCTTGTGATCCGCACTATAGTCGTGAAAAGACCATAAAATATTATAACAATACTAAGAATAATGGTTCAAGGAAGAATATCCCATTATAAAGGAAAATAACTCCAAAGGGTGAAATTACTACCACTACAAAACATGAATTACATTGATTAGTAACAGAAAGGGAATATGTAAAGTTTTAGGCTGATGATTAACAAGGGAGAAGGAATTTGTGGCTCCAATTCCTATCCTTTCTATCTAGATGAAGTCACTGTCAAAGAGAAAATATGGAACTAAACGTGTGTTTAGTCCAATCATCTGCAGCAGTTCTTATTGCCTGACTATCATCATGATGACCACAGTGACAAACAGCATGAAAAAAGAACAAAATATTGCACAGTGTCCCAGAAGACCAAATAATTTTTAAACCAAGACTTACATATATATTTATATAACTTCCAACAGCCTAGCACCCTGCCATATTTATAGCTTAACCTTCTCAGAAAACACACCATATGTAATCACTCTGGGTGCAGATGCAGTTCACCAGCTACTTCAACAAAGTTGGGCAAAGAGGCAGAAGCCTGAAATACTGCAGTCCTACAAGTTTCATTAAATTAAGCTGCTTGGCTTAGAAGCAGAGACTCCAGTGAAAAAGCATAAGCTCAATCTTTGTGGAGGACCACAAACGCAAGAGGACTACCAGTGGGAAAGGCTTCACTGAGCAATCCTATCTTTGACACAAGGTAGTCCAAGTATCAGACACATCATAAGGGGATCAAGGCTTTTTTCATTCTGTTTTGTCTATCCTGCACATGTAAGTGCAGTACCTACAGACTGCAATTCCAGGCTGTCTTTGGTTTACTCACTGAACAAATACACTACAAATGAGCTCTTCCATGCCATCTCACTGTTCAGGATAAGCCTGGTTTACCAGCTTAGAAAAGGTACCCTCCAAAGGGGCTCTTAAACAGCCCATAGGCCTCAGTTTTTCAAAATGTAAGCTGGAAAGAACAGGAAGAAAAAGTTCTGATCTCTTCTGAGAACAGAAAAATTACTTCATTCATATGCATATATAAATGAAACATTCTGATCCAGCTTACATTAAAATTTCCATGTTAAAGGAAACACTCACTGCCCTGCTGCTAAATTATTACTAAGCAGTGTACTTGCCTCTGCTGTGAGCTGTCTCTGGGCATCTTTAGCTGCTCCCAAATGCTGAACAAGTTCTTCATTTTCAACTGCACACTATAAAATATATCAAGAAACATTATTGTAGGTCAAAACATCTCAGTATTTCTAATGTTCATATCATATACTGCAAGTAAATAGGAAAATTCTAACTTTTTAAAGACTCCCTTTGCAGCAATATTAGCCCATACCTTTTAGTTAAAAAACTAACATTACAAAATGTTAACACAAGTGTACCCAGCATAAGCCTATACTCTGCAAAATGAATCCCTCAAGACCTCAATACTAATGACTACCTGCTCACTGAGATACTTGTATTGATACTCTTGTTTTACTGAAGTTCAGTGCAAAATTTTATTTAATACTGAAAATAAATGTATTTGGTATTTAACATATGCATTTGTAACATTCATATGCTTTCTAGTCAAGAATGATATATACTAAATATCAAACAATGACATCCAGATAAGGAGGTTCAAAATCCCCTTTAGGCTCTAGCATTTTTAACTTATCTTCCAATTAACAACAGTAGCAAATCACAGCATTGATCCTGTAACTGGATTCCTTACAGCTTTTGCCTTTTTCTGCAGATCGACAATCTGTGAGAGCAGATGGGTGATTTCTTCCTGCTGCCGGGCAGCATCTTCAGTTTTCTTTGCTAACTCCTCGGAGATATTGGCAATCTGTATGTTTGCATCCCCTTTAAGATAAGTGATTACAATCACTATTACAATATCCAAAGACAGAAAAGTAAGAAGAAAGATGTTCTTTCAGAACGTCACTTGACTCAGCAGAATCCTTCCCCAGAATGCAGTAACATTTTTGGAAAAAATGGTAGGACACAAAACCAGAAAGACACAAAGTGCTCAGGTTGCATAGGAAACTGTCCTTCCCCCAGCAGTAACATTTTCTATGCAAAACTGTTTTGCACCCGAGAAACAATTTATTTACAGCAAAAAATTCTGGCTGTAATAAGTCAGCTGAAATTTTCTTCCCACAACCATTTATGTAATGACAATAAGTGTTGCAGGAATAAATGACTGACTGATCTGATGCGGTTGTGGGGTTTTTTTTTTCCTTTTTTTAAACCAAATAAGATCTTAAAAAAAAAAAAAAAAAAGACATACTTAGCTCTTTTACGCAGTCATTGACAAGCTGTTGTTCTTTTTCTTCATAAGTAATTGTTTCAGTCTTCAGTTGACAGGCCTATTCAAGAAATATGCCACATTAGCATGTTTGTTCTCTACCAGCATGCTGCTGCATTTCCATCTGCTTCAGAAAGACAAGCTTTCCTAATCACTCCTCCAAGAAGACTGTGAAAAAAATGACAGTAATTGCCTGCTCTCTTTTATGTTCTGGATAAAGGGGCCAGGTGAACATTCCTGGCAGAAATGCTACTGCATAAAGTTGCACCAGTATCCCCTCATCTCCACAAGATGTCACCTGTGTACTTTACATTGAAAAAATAAAAAGGCCTAAGCATACAAAAGCCACACAATGCAAAGCTTTTACCTGGTCACCATAACAAGGGCAGGTATCTAATGAAATGCACAATTTAAATACTTGAAATTAAAAAGAAAACCATCAGATCATACTCGAAAATTCCTAGCACTGTAGCTGTATATTCCACATAAAACCTTAGAGTTGCCTCCTTTCTTGATTTGCCTTTTCCCCTCCAACCAGCTGGCTCTGTCTGGCACCACCTTGATGAGCCTGTAATGTATACCCAATGCATAGACACACAGAAGGCACTGTGCAGAGGCTTTGGATTTGGCTGTACACTGTGCCTCACTGGCACAGACTGTATTTCTCTATAAGGGAAGTTACTCTATAACAGGGCTCTCCTACTGCATCCTGAAGCAGTGTTCCTCTCAATCCTAAGCCTACTTTTACTGTATCTACTGCTCACCTTCCTTGTGTGACATCTCAATGCAGCACTCTCCAATATGTGGTGACTTATTCAAAGGTGTGACACCTACCTATTTCCAATGGGCCCTACATTTGCAGTAGAAAACAGTAAATATACTATGTTTTCATGCATTCATTCTTAGCCCAAAAGTATTTCATCTGCTATACTTTGCTACATGTTTGCAAAATGGTAATATGCTCCCAAAGTTTAAAGGTTGTATTAAAAAATTAAGATCAAATTTGTGATTAGATATTCAATTAGGGAGTGTTATTTCTGATAAATAGGGATATCAATTCTATCACACTTAAAAAGCAAGAAAGTCACAATCTTAAAATACTAACAGCCTGATTTGAAAAACAATTGAAGATATTTAATGCAAATTTTGCCTAGCAATTTATACTTTGACAAACACAACTTTTTTTTAACAGAGAGACCAAGTCAGCCTGAAAACTTCAGATCTACAGCTAAAGTCATCCATGGCTATTGGGTCAGTTCTTTAAGTCAGATTTCAAACCACAGTGCTATACTTGAGAGAGTTAATTTCACAAAAACAAAGTCAAATACCCCACTAGTTATATGTTTTTGTTGCTCTTCTTTTATATGTTTTAATAAAGAACATTAAAAACTAAAATAAACATTGTTACTTATATACAATAAGTGTAGTATTTATTTTATGAGGGCTGCTCCTGTTTTATGACATTGGCCCACGAACATCCAGAGGTGCACGTTGGTGGTACTGCAGTAAAAGGTGAACCTTTCTACCAATACCCCATTACATGTTGCTGCCATGTGACAGATGGCAGCAAGAGGGGCAGTCTGAAGAAATGGTGTCTGACATGAAAGTGTGTCTGAAGCAAATGTATGAAAATTAATTCCTCCATGCAGAAAAAAAAATACACCCACTGACATTCATTGACACTTGCTGAATATTTTGGAGACTGAACAGTGGATGCAAGCACAGTGAGGCAGTGGGTGGTGTATTTCACCTGTGGGTCACCTCTGCTGCTGCAGACTGTTACAAGTGCAGCATGCAGGCTCTCGTTCATCACTGGTGAAAATGCATAGCTAACAGTGGTGACTATAGTGAAAAAAGTCTTCTGTAGCCAAGAATTTTCTATAAAATAGTATTACTGTGCTCTTTGTGCTGGTTGTAGCTTCCATGGAAATAGTTTGGAGGCACTACTTTGAGAGCAACTTTCCTAGACAGGGTCCTAGATAATGCCTCTTCACTCAGGGCGGCCCAGGCAAGACAAAAGGTGAAACACCTATGCTGTACGCCCTAGCAGTTTCCTTACCAGCAGAGTATGCTAGGTATGTAGCTTCATGGAGCTCCTATGTGTCAGTCAGTCCTTCATTTAGGAAGAATAGAGGGTAGTAATTAAAAAACTACAAGGAAATGTTTGTCATTTATGGAATTGCATACTCCTAATGAGATGCTTCCAAACATTTTAATACACACTTCTCACCACCCGCGTTCCAGCAGTTATATGAATGACTGTATTAAGTGAAACACAAAGTGTGCAGTTTCACCTCAGATCTAAGCACGACATTCTCTTCTTCAAGGTCCTTGAGTTTCTTCTGAAGAGAATCCAAGTGAAAGTAGTTCTGGACAGAGGAGGAAGATTCATTCCTCTTCAGCCTTGATTAAAAAAAAAAAAAAAAGAAAAAAGAACAGTAAGTTTTAACTCATTTTTACCAGCATCATGGCCAACCTCACAAGAAAATAGGCTGAACAGAGGTCTCAAACAGCCAGAGCCACATGAAATACACCAAAACTATGAGGAAAAAAAAACAACTTTACCATAGCAATTTAATAGCTCCACGATTAATGCTGCACATTTCACCAAAATGCAGCAACAACTTTGCAAGGAAGGCCAGACAGCCCCTCAAAGCCTGCAATGTTGTTCAGCCAGCTAATTGCCTGGAACACGCAGTATAAGCCATGCTCAATTTCTTCCTTCTGCTATTGAAAACAACATGGCATTTTTCACTGTGGCCTCAGGTTCCTCAAGCACAAAGGTCACAGATGTGGAACGTTCTAGAACAATGTGCAAAAGGGATGTGGAGCAGCAGGGTACTGTAGGCGGAATGAATCAGTGTTGGCCTCATATCCATAGTGATACAGTTCCTGTGAAAGACACAGTGCTGTATCAGCAGCCTTCTTATCTACTTTCCCCTCCCGACTTGTTTGCACCAGTACAGCCAGCTAGTCCAATACAAATCTTTCCAGCTGGTGTCATGCACCAAGGTCAGAATTCCATTTATAGGTCCAGCCTATACAGGGATCATTGCACTACCAAAGCTATGAAAACTGTCTGAACTACCCCTGCTTAGTACCAGACAAAGGTTTGGTGTTGCAGATTGATAACTTACGGGGTGGAACAGATGGACTCTGGCTCACTTTCTTCAGCAGCACTGGTATAGAACTGGAGCAGCTCATCTTTCATGGAAAGCTCATGCCGTAACTGAGAAACCTGCACAAAGAAATAGCTTGCAGATCAGTACCTTGCTTTTCTAGTCAAACTGCCAAGTAAACTCACAATCAATTAGTTGTTCATCCTCCAAGCATCACCTTCAGACTAAATCAAGTGGCCTAAAATGGAACAGACTGGAAACCATTCCTTTATTTATAGGAAAGAAAGGACAACCTTAAAATAGCCTTTTTTTTTCTTTTTTTTTAATATACAAAAATGCAATTATCTCCTGCTAAGAAGGAAGGTAAAATGAGCAATCCTGAATCACTAATGCATTAGTCCAGATCCACATTCAAAAAAATAAATTTACTGAAATGAAACAGCAAGAAATGAATGTGACACAATCAAACCAAGCAACGCTACTTTCCACTTTACACAATGACTATCACCATCTGGATTGGATACAGACCTTGCAGACTGTGGATAAAATTATTACAGTGCTTATGCAGCAAAGTTCTTCTGGGACTCAGTTGCCTATTGAGTTGCACAACAACAGAGAGTGGCAGGCACCCTTCTGAGGTGGCTGCCACCCAGTTTCTGGGTGTAGTTTGGGTTGCTGGTGACTCCAAAAGATAAGCATAGCAGAACAATATGAGGCAGTTTCATCCATGAAATTAAAATGAACAAAATTTAATTGAGTGATTAGTATTTCCTGTAATTCCACAAAGTTAACCTTGGTTAATTCATATTTTGATTTGGTTTAAAGGCTCAGTTATAAAGGAACACTTTTGCAACTGTAAAGTTGCATTTTAAGACACTCGTGTTAAGAGGTTCTTTCTTTTTCCCTTGCAAAGGTATAAGCAACACAAATGATCAGGAAGATGTCTCCTCTCTCTTTCCTTGAAAGATCTGGCTGTTTCTGCTCTGCAGTGCACAAATTGCAAAGCACATTTGTTTTCACTAGACTTCTACTTTTGTATTGCAGACATATTAATACTTCCAGTTATTAGTAGCAAAAAAAAAAAGTTTGTCAATAAAATAGATTTATTGTCAACAAAAAAATGAAACAATGCAATAAAGCAATTAAACTGTGCAGAATTTTAAGCTAACAATGTCATCTACTTCACTAAGGCCAGTCTGCAGAATTACACTCCGTGAAAGGCACCAAAGTCCTCCTGGGACATGGCTTCTAAAAGGAACTGCACATTTCTAAAAACACAAAACCACATTTCAGCCATGAAACAAATTCAGCGTATTCATTTGGGGAGATTCATTTTCCTCCATTTCAGGAACAGCTGAAAGGCATTCTAAAGTAACAGGTCTACCTCCTTCCAGCTCAGCCTCTTCAAGTAGCAAGAAATTAGATATTTTCAGTAGGTGGGCACTAGCTCATCTCTAGCTTTTCCTATACTCTTCCTCTATGAATCAAATCAACCGAGCCCACTATTTTTGCTGCTATTTTCAAGCATTCCAGTTCTTCAAAAGAAGGCAAACAGCCAGAGAAAGTAACCTGGTAAAGGAGCAGGACAGGAAGCAATGGGCACAAGCTGAACGATACACAGAACTTCTCTCTTCTCTCTGAACATCAGAAGCATTTCTTTACACTGCGGGTGGCAGAGCAGAGCACTAGCGCAGGCTGCCCACTTTGCTGGTGGAGCCTCCCTCCTGGGCACCCTGCTCTAAGTTACTGGTGCCACGACATACACACCAGTAAAACCTAACTTTATGTATTACACATCACCATCTCTGTATTACAAATACATATCCCTCAAACAAACCATTTTAAAGTAGTTTTCATGGAATTTTAAAAGCTCCTATTCACACAGAATCACAGAACCACAGAACGGCCAGGGTTGGAAGGTACCTCAAGGATCATGAGTCTCCAACCCCCCCTGCCACATGCAGGGCCATCAACCTCCACATTTAAGAGCAGCCCAGGCTGCCCAGGGCCCCATCCAACCTGGCCTTGAACACCTCCAGGGATGGGGCATCCACAGCCTCTCTGGGCAGCTGTTCCAGCACCTCACCACGCTCTCTGTAAAGAACTTAAGAACTTATTCAATTCTCTTTTCCCTTGTTTATAGACACAGTTGTCTTAGTTACCATTTTGTTCATATAATCAAAATTCAGCATTAATAGGAGATGTGAAATTACTAAAAGAAGATTTTTAACAAACAAATGTCATCAGTTTAAAGCCTGATGAGCTCTCCCTCAAAAGCATCAATTTCTGAAGGAGTCAAAATGACAGTGTGAAAGATGGATGCTGATAAAACATATGGCCAAATACATCAAGCAACCTGGTAAGAAGCTTATTTTTGGTTCTCCTTTCCCCAACGCTTCTCCTGACTCCCTTTAAATAAAGTTAGTCCTGTCAGAGGAAACCATTCCCTGCTCCCACATTCTTCAATCAAATCCTCCATTCTGGATGTATGGGGTATGAATGCCCTTCCCTACCTTGCCCAGTCGTGTACATGCTCAGTAAAAGCCTATCAACCAACACATGAATAAATGTCTGCCATATTACAGGAATTGGACAAAATGTGACGACAGCGTGGGACTGAAGAGAATTCATTTTCCTCATCAAAAAGAATGGGCCACACTGAAAGATTCTTATTCCCTGTGGCACAGTCCACCACCATTATACATCCAGAATTTCTCCTTCCACACTTCATTCACCAGCATATTTTGGATATAATTCAACACCATACTTTCCTAACATTTTATTAACAGACACTTTTAAGGCTTTTAATCCACTCTGTTTCACTGTTCTACTGCTTGCCCTACAACTGTAGAATTTTGCTCCCTGTTGCTCATGGCTACACGTGAACAAGATTCACAAACTAAGATCACTGTTCCTGGACACAAGAAACATCTTCCTCTAGCACAGATAGTAAGACAGTAGAATTTAAACAGTGACACTGAGTTATAGATAAAACATTTTTAAAGCATCCATTATCTGCCAGTACACAGAACATTCAACTCCTATGTAAGAAACGTCAACTGTATAAACATTTCTTTAGAAATACAACATGTGCCAGAGCCAAGTCATTACATCAAACAATCAAAGTTTTCAGTTACGTTTCTATAGATCAGACTAATTCAGAAATACATGCACTGTGACATTACATTTTAAACATGTTCAAAAATCTAAGGCAAGTGCAGTCAAAAATTCAAAGGTATGTACTGCAGCAGGCCAACAATCCATGTTTCAACAGATTCTACCACAATTCCTGAAAAGAGAAACAGCAAAATGACAAGAAGCTGTAAGATCTTCCCCATCTAGACAGAGTAGCAAGTCCCACTCTTTGATTCCAAAAAAAACCCAACGCTTCTAAACACTAGTAAGTTCATATAGAGTGCACTGAATATAATGACCAATCACTGAAATATAACCTGACCTATTTATCTCCAAACTGGCCCAGTTTGAAGCTTGGAAAAGGCAGAATGCACGTAATTTCAGTGAGCGTGTACTGCTGGAATCTCCACAAATAAAAAGACCAGTCATACTCCATTTGAGAAGGGAAGCACTGGCAGAACTCAAATGCTGTGGCCTTAATGTCAAAATTCAGTATAAACAGAAAATTGTTCATCAAAAAGCAGTTAAATGTTCACTGGAGAGGAAAAGAGAGGACTGAGAAAGATTCAGGAGTGACACAAGTAAAAGAGTGAGCGGCACACAAAGGAAATGAGATTAGTGAGAGGAATTATATATAAGGCACAGAGGAGAACAAGGACAAAATCAATAGAAGAAAACAGTGTGTAAAGTGATTTAAAACCAAAAGAGCAGCTGAATTTATAGGAAAATAAAATATACGGCAAAGTAAGTTTCAGAATCTTGGGTATTTTTTCCCCCCGCTTATCTGATTTGATCCAGTGGGTCAAATGACTTTTCTGGTCATAGTTCCAAAAATGTACTTGCTATAAAAATGGCTGACTGAACTGCTACAGTACAGGTTGACCAGCTACAAATAGGATGCATGGGAAAATTAAGTAGGGACAAGGGAAAGATTAAAAAAAAAATTCTCCCCATCACTGCAGACACATCAATCAGATGTAAAAAGAAAAAACATACCTCCTCCCTTATGTGTTCTACTTGCTCCTCAAGGAACTCATTTCTTTCTGTCAATGATTTGTTCTTCTTTAGCAGTGACTGGCCAATCCGAGCAGCTAATTCTAAGTCCCGTTCTTTCTGTGAAGCATTAAGAAAAGAAAGCAAATATACTTTTGTTTTTATTCACTGAAGGAACAGAAGGAAGAAACAAGTATTTAAGGCAGTAAAGAGCCGTTTTCACTTCTGTAAGGGTTTATTTTTTGCTAACTTTTTTTTTCTATTACATAACACTGACATTATTCAGAAAAGACTGACACATACAGTTACTGAACCATACACATGAAAGCACAGCTTTGAGGTCTAATGTCAGGCAATGCAAGTTAAGCCACATTTGGTTCTCTACTATGGCTTTGAGAGACTACTGACAGAAACATTCCACCACCTTGTCCCAAATTTGCCCAAAATGGTTATTCTCATTCCATGTTTGCCCACTCATCACCCGTCTCTACAAGGGAACTGGAAATAACCCATCTGGACTCTACCAATACAAATACCATACAAATGGACCAATACAAATTAGAGACCTATCGTGTTGATGACATGTACCTCTACACTGGATTGTAATCTGCCTAGGACAAGATGACAAATAACAGAAACTTGCATAGAAATGTTCATTAAGTATTTTCACTGAAGATTTTCTTCTTCAATTACTATGACTCTAAAGTAGTGGGAAAATAGAATAGTGGTCAACTCACCACTTACCTTTATTTCAACATCATTTGAGGAACAGCTTTTTCCATTTCAGATATCTACTGAAAATACTACCTGAGGCTTAATCATTTCATCTGACAGGCGTACAGATCACATGACTAAAATCCACCCTGTGACATGCATAAATTCATGACAAAGTCTACAAAACCTAAAGCTGCTGTTGATATGGAAAGCTGACATGAAGTAAATGAATTTGAATGAAGAGGCTTTCACAGCACAAAAAAGGAAGTTTTGTAATAATAAAAAAGATGGGTTATTGATCGCTGCTGTATCTACAAGTAGCATTTTTCAAATGATTTTTGAAGGTCAGTCTTTTACATGCATTAAATTCACTGGTATTATCTAGTCTTAAACTCTTGATATTATCTTACGGACAATCTTTCAGAACAATAGGTCCCACAAAGCTACCAAAAATGTTTAGTTTACATATTGGGACAACTTACTATTCAGTGATTTATCTCACTTCATAAGTGCAAAAAACCAAAATATTTGACTCTACAGAATCACAGAATGGACAGGGTTGGAAGGGACCCCAAGGATCATCAATCTCCAACCCCCTGCCACATGCAGGGCTATCAACCTCCACATTTAATACCCAGGGCCCCATCCAACCTGGCCTTGAACACCTCCAGGGACGGGGCATCCACAGCCTCTCTGGGCAGCTGTTCCAGCACCTCACCACTCTCTCTGTAAAGAACTTCCCCCTGACATCCATCCTAAATCTCTCCTGCCTCAACTTAAAACCATTTCCCCTCGTCCTGCAGTTACCTACACTTTCAAAGAGTTGATTCCCTTCCTCTTTGTAGGCTCCCTTTAGGTATTGAAATGCTGAGGTCACCCCACAGGGTGAACAAACCCAGCTCCCTAAGCCTGTCTTCATAGGGGAAGTGCTCCAGTCCCCTGATCATCTGCCTCTACAGAGGCAGAACTATCTAGTAGTAGGGTTTCTGACCTCAAAGTTGAGAAATACAAGTGTTTTCAGGCTCTTTAATTAACCTCCCTAGGTTTCCTAGTCAATTTTTAGCAGTTCAGCTCTAAATCTCATTTTGGGGTCATGTCTCTTATTCATTGTATTAAGGAACTGATGCATTATGGCAACATGAGTAACCAAAACACTAAAGCCAGAGATATTTAAACAGTTATCAGAGAGATAGGAAAGCAGGTCCATGGAGGAATCTCGTGTTGTTATTACCAGATATCCAGATAAACCTGGTGTCACTCCCCTTTTGCTCACTTTCAGGGCAATAGACACAGGTTTTCAGAATGCCTACATGCCCATATTGTTTTGATATCTTTTCTTTCCTGCCTATCCCTCACTAAAATGCTGCACCTCCCACCCAGCCAACTTCATGATAAATTGTTTTGAAGCTTGCCAATAAGAACAGGAAGACAGGGGAAGCTCTGGGGCTTGGTTTTCTCTTGTTTGTGTCACGGCAGCAGAAGGAGTTAAACCTTAACTTCTGCAAACAAATGCAGTCTCTTGTGATGATGACCATTTACAGAATAGGGAAAGGAGCTGCAAGTATACACATCTGCCTAGAAAAGTGGTTAAAAAAGTGGTTAAAAAACAATGATCAATTAACACAAAAAATCTCACTGAAAATATTTTTTTTTATTTAAGGTTCACCTGTTGCATGTTCCTTCCTATTCCCTTTGCTATTATCCAGATGGAAAAGTAAATCAAATGCTTCATAACGTTGGCTCAGCAAGTTCCCATGAGTTTCCTAGCATTGTTCCCATGAGTGTAACTTCTAGATCTATAGACTATGTGGACTCTGGGGAGGAAACAATTTGGCAAAGTGCTGCATCACTGCTGGAAGAAGCCATGTAAACAAATGCAAGTAAATCCAAGGCACATTAGAAAAAAGGAGCAGGATGCAGAAAGATTACAGACTGTTAACAGACTGTTAACTTCTGTTACTTCTACTAACAGAAGTTAGTAGAATATTCCTGTACAAGGATTTTTGGAAAAGCATCAGTTTTAACTGAAATTTCATATAAAGTTGTTTATGAGTGTTCAGTTCGAAGCACAAAAAGCAGGACTTGTACTGAGATCAGAGTTATTAAATGTAGGTGAGAGATGGGAGCATTCTTGTGCTTGTCCCCTTGGAGAACTGGAAGAACAGACTACAAACAGACCCCATTTTTGACATGGCAACTGCAATAAATAAGCAAATTATGCCCAGACATAAACTAATACAATTCCAATCATTCTCATCTAAATAAATCTGCCTAAACATTATTTGGAAAATTATCATTCAAGTTTTCTACAGAAAAACAGATAATTTTAGTCTAAACAATTTATCATGGTACTCTTGAACATAAGCATCCCTGTGGCTTTTTGCCATTCTCCGAGTACCAAAGATTATGGTCATAATGACATATCTAGAAGTGGTAGAAAACACCAAAACCAAACATAAAGCTACAAAGAAAAGACTTTGAGATGAATGGAGAATTAGAAATTAAAAAAAAAGAATTGTCTGTGCATTCCTCTGGAAAGACACTATGTGAGATAATAATTATGAATACAGTTGTAATTGTGAATTTATTTTTATAATAATAACCCAGCAATAATAATAGTACTGGCTTTACATGTACTCCTCTCATTCATTCGAGCAAATATTTGGCCAAGAATAAATTAAATGGTCTAATTTGAAAAATAAGCACAAGTAATGAATCTGTGTGACTGATGTAAACAAATGGCCCTTACTTAAAAAGATTATTTACCTTACCCATTAGTAAGCAAGGAGATGAAGTTTACATACACTCAGGGCACTTATTCCACCCTGTCTGAAGAACATCTACCAGCAATCACTATTAGTACCATATAATTTCTGTACTATTTTCTCATACTGTGTATAGGTCATTAATGAGATATAATACTTGCCTCTTCAAGCAGACGTGTAACAGCATCTATGTCATTGTATGTTTTAGTCATCTGGCCCACTCTTTCAGCACATAAAACTGTAAGAAAATAAGGTAAAATGTTAATAATATTGGCAACACCACTTGGAGAAAAATATATCCTTTAAAGAATATGGATTTACATACGTTTACAGCTTAAAACTACTTATTTCATCTTTCAGGTTAGTGTATCAAAACATAAAAAAAACACAATATCAAAGCTCCAGGTTAAACTAAGAACACTGGTGCTTCTCTTTTGTAATGAGAATCTGTTTTTTTGGTGGCAGAGTAAGTCAATAAAATGTTAAAATTTTCTTCTCCAAAGAGGAATGTCTCAAGTTTTTGAAAAAAAAAAAAACAACAACAAATCAACAAATCAAAGAAGAAGTGAACACATGTTCTTAGACACATGAATAGAATTCTGTTGTGTCCTCTAGTCACTGCATTGTATGCAGTAGAACTGTTCCATTAATAAGCAACTCCAATAACTTTAACAACATTGTTCACTATAAATACTACATCATAATAAATTGATAAGATCTAAGCATTATGGTATGAGATAGCAAAGCCATCACAAAATGCATGCAAAACAACAGCCCATTTTTATAACACTCAGACTACAACACCACTACAACACCACAGTATTACTCATATAAATGTCTACTAAAACTGGGTGTTGGTGATAAAATACTAAGGTGGAACTGGGAGCTTTGTTAGATTAAAGGATATATGCCTTTATGTTTAAGAACCTGCACAAAACTCTCCAGAGATCTGCAGGTTTTCTAAAAAAATTCATAAAGAATCAGAAGAACCAACAGCACTTCCTGCTCCATTCTTACATGTTATTCTTATTTTCAGCTGCTCAAACCTTGTACTTCTGAAAAAAAAACAAATCAGATTGTTTATTAAAGTTGAGCTGATCGTATTGACTATTGGCTAGCAGACTGCTGTAATGCAAACTGTTCTTCAGGGGATTTACCCTTGACAATGTCAGTTAAAGCTCAGCCTGACAGACTGGCTAATGCTGCATCAGCATGCATCAAGGGGGGTTGGGAGAAACAAAAACAAGGCCTAATAAGATTAAAAAATAAAGTGCACTGGATGCAGCAGTAAGGAAATAATGCTGCCCAATTACAAGTATATTGGATACCTGCACATAAATATGCAGTCCATCAGCACTAAGGCACATCAATAATATATCAAGTACAGCAGTACTTTGATACCTGTTGAAATGTTTTGTTTTGTTTTTCCATACATGAACACTAGAATAATGATCGAGCTGGAGCAAGAATTACATTTATTTTGTTTATTTTCCTGTTTCTCAAGCTCTGATTTTGAGGAACAAATCCTGAAAACATTTCAGTGATGCGAGTACTGCCAGGGAATTCCAGAAAGCATCATTCACGTATATGCAAAAAACAATTACATTTATCCAAATAACTATGCCTGAAAGAGGAAACGGGACGAAGGTTCCACTTCAAAGCAGTAATTTGACCAAAATTACACAGTAATATAAAGAATCACACAGTACTGTACAATAGACAATAACGGGGCATCTGTAAGCTAAAAGCTCTACGATCTGCTTTTGACTAAACAGGATGCCACAGGAAAATAACCTGTAGTATCTTGAAGAGAACATCAACTGTGTTAACCAGAGGAGGTAAAAAGAAGTTTTCCATAGAAACTACTTAAGAAAACAGAGAGGCTTACAAAAGGTAATTCACAGTAAAATGTCATTTTTGTGGTGATGTAAATTAATAGACAAGTTCAAAGGTCGTGCAATAACACCTATCAGAAGCCTTGACATCAAGGGTTTATTTTCCAAAACAGTGGCACAGTAAGTAGTTCCCTTGGTTACAACATTCCCTCACTGCCATAACATTACGTTTGAGATATAAATACTGATAATCACCACCAGTTATGACCATGCCAACTCCACACCATTCTATTTCAGGTGTACGTGTACCCTAGCACATAGAAGGACGGTGCTCCCACAGACAGAATAAAGTCACTTGGGTGGAGAAAGAGAAACCAAGGTTGGTACCACGCAGTTAGTTGTTCACATAGCTATTCCTTTTGATTTTACCATTTAATCTTTATCAAACTGCCTTGATAACCTGCTGTTATTAAAAAGCCATTTCAATACAGGGAACACTAGAATGAGTTGCACACAGATACAAACTTTTATGTATAATTAACATTTCTGAGCTTCAAGGGAAAGGCGACCTTGCCAACAAGCAGATATAAGATAAAGTTAATTTTCTTTCCAGTTTCTGCCAACAAACCAGAGAAGCTGTCACAACAGACATGTTACTGGTAGAGCAGTACCAATCTGGTCACCAATGGCAGTTGTATTTCAGAGCTAACACTGACCTTCTGTTGGTCACAGTTAATACAGAGGTCTACCTACTACTCTGACAACGTGAAATGGTTTCAAAGCCAAAATGATACATTATTCATCCTTCTCAGTATACAAGTGGAAACAAACTTCAAACGATTGCATATAATAAAACCCTCTGTCAGCTGCAACCTACACAAGGTGCAACGCAGCAGAAGCAGCACAGACTGACACTAGGGGAGAGGAAAGCATTGCTTTTGGAGAGGCCAAGCTTAAAATCAGGTACAGTTCAACACCCCTCTGAAACATAGGCAGCAGGGGAAGAAAAGGTAGAAAGAACAGAGAGAAAGCAATTCAGCAGCAGCATTTGAAAAATTCAAAACTGTTTAAGTATGTAGTCAATCTTTCCAAGTTAACATCAGGCCAACTGCTAGAGCAGTGATTCTGATTTCCTTAGTAGTCCAAAAAATCTACCAAGTGAAAAAGATGTATTATTTTGAGCTCTGATGAGTGAAACACAGAAGGAAAAAACACCTTAGGTTTCTATCCTGCTTTGCTTTCAGATGAATATGAGAGTTGTGAATATAACACAACTGTAGATAAGACAAGAGCATATGAAGGACAATGCTCTGTAATGCAAAACCAGCAGTGCCAATTCACTGACCTCTTTTTGCTCATTTGCAACCTGGTATTATTTTTGCCTGAGGACAATAGGGACTGTAGTATCTAAATGCATGCATGCATATATCCAAATCCAATGTACTCTGCACCTCACTGTTTATGGAGAAAGCCATTAGGCAATAAAGACAGAACACTAAAATAAAAAAAACAAACAATAATCCATAGAAAGTAGAGCACAGACTTTCACAAGCACTCTTTTTTGTTGAGCTTTGAAATCACTGTCACAGATACAAAAGGAAACAAAGAACAAAGAATGCTTCTATCATGTTAGTTTCAAGACTGTATTAAATGCATGAAACAAACAAATCACTGGTAGCAGAGCTGTGGGTTGGTTTTGTTTTTTTAAAGTCAAGCACATAAATGGACTGATCAAGATTTTCCTCTGACCTAAAGTACCTAGCACCATCTTCATTCTCTCTTAAGGCTTGTAGATTAACAGTTATCCACACTGTGATGCTTCTCAATTGGATTACAATTGAGAAGATATACTTTACATTTGTTTCTCATCACTCATTTAACGAAGCATCTGATCAGAAGCTTCCCTTGGGGTGTGAGTTCTGCACTGCCTAAAGCACCAACCAAGCTGAAGGTGCAGAGGGAAGAAAGTACTTCCTGGGCTGCAAACCTGAAAGCCACCCAGCCATGCATTGTGCTGTTTAAAAGAAAAGTCTGTTTCCAGGAGCAGGAAAGAGCCAGGGAGTGGAAGGGGGGCAACAGTGTTACTATTGGGAACTGCTGCACTGAGCCACCTTCTCCAAATCAGGGATGCAGATGGAAAAACAACACCAGAGCCAGCAGTCGTGGGTGACATCAGCCCGGCTGCACTGGCTGACCAGAATCAGCACTTCCTCCCTGTGACATATCCCATCTTGTGTTGAAGAACTAAGAGAGCAACCAAGGCTGAAGAGGGAAGCTCAGCTCTCATTGCTCCTCTTCCTATTCACTTCTCATCACTGTCAACAGAAGGCAGATAAGACGATAAAGTTCCACTTTTAGGGAAGGTAATACTGACCTGTATAGTAGTAACACAGTCTGGCAGACAGTCTGTGGCAGGCTCAGACTCCTCAGCTCACACTGGTTTAGTTTTTGCATTCTGTGCTTAAAGTAATTACCAAAACTCACGGTTTCAGTCCCAGAGCCACTAGTTATTACTCTCTGGCACAGTGCTTACTGTAAGCACTGCCTTCATCAAGCGAGGGGCCATCCTGGAATGGTGTCACAGCATATGTATTTCCTTTCAAATGAACTCAGAAATAAGATGTTCCATCAGCTCTGCTATCATTCAAGCTAGAAAGATTTAACTTCTCCCCTGCTAAAGAGAAGTTTCTAGAAGCCCTAAATCAAAGCAGAGGCTTCTGGCCACTGGGGTCTGGCACATGCCATATGGGCCTCGGGGAACACATTCACCCGAGCAGCTTAACATCTTAAGAGACTTTTGTCACGGGAGCTTGGAAAATGTGCTCCTGAGGCAGGACTTGCCAGGACCCCTAATTCACACACAGCACACCTGCAGGCCTGTGGCCTTGCCCTCCCTGTCCTGAGGCAGGAGCGCGGCCTTCTGCAGGAGGCAGGAGCACTCAGGGCAGATAGAGACCATTGTGCAGCCTTGGTAGATGGCTGCTGCCCCACAGCTCACAATCACGCTGTGGGCAAGGAGTTTGAAGGAACACTGTTGTGAACAATACAGACTCATTCAGCAACTACACAATAACGTGACAAACAACACCATCGGTAGGCAATACCAACAAATTTCCACCCCCAACAAGAATATTACGTAAGTGTTCCATCTATTAATACAAACACAGATCAAGTGTGGTATTTTGGAAAGTACAGCCACAAAGCAAAACTAAGGAAACTGCCCCAGTATTTGGTCCCCATGACTTACCATAACCTCAGTGTCTAACATTTACTGATAGAATCCATCACAGCTCTTCTGTGAACTTTTTTTACCCCTAACAGGATTTTTTGACTACTATTCATTGAATTATTGTCCTGACGTTCTCCTCCTTCATTCACTTCTTGTCAAGAAATATCTGGACTA